AAATCTTTTCGGGTTTTTTCTTTGATTTATTTTGATTTTTGCTTCTCGACGTTTCGAATGTTTTACAGCAACCTGGTCACGATCAGCAGCTTTGATATATTTTCACAGAAGTCGTCGGACTTCCTTGGATTGTTATTCCTTTACCTTTCCTTGTTGTTTGACTACGACCTGGAGTAACACATCCATACTTAATATTATAAATGTGAAAGTGTATTTGTTTGTTTGTCCTTCTTCCACGTCGAAACAGAGGATTGCCGTGATTTTTTGTGTGAAGATAGTTGGAGGGTTGGAGAGTGACATAGGCTACTTTTTGCTGCGGGAGATTATTTTATTCCCACGGGAAACACGTTATAAATTATAATACCAATCAAAAAATATTTGTGGTTTATCGAAATTCAATCATAAATGGGTAAAATGGGACATAAAAGTTCGTATGAAACCTACCTTTTTAGAGATATTTTTGTAGTTTTAGCGTGAGCAAAGCCGCGGGTTCTGCTAGTAGATTATAGTTAAGAGCAAAGTAAAGAGAAGGTAACTAACTACTTATACTATATAATTTTACGCACAGAATATCTTAAAGTAGTATTTAGCCATTTTACTCTATAAGATACTTAAAATTTATTAACACATAATTCTAACTAACAGTTAGTTACCTTAAATCGATCAGTAGCGATCGATCGATTGCGTAAGAAGTTAAAGACCTCAGTTAAAGTGGTCGAGTGTACACAGAGCGACGCACCTTATGTTTGTTAAGTCATTTATATATACCGTTGTAGAGGCTTTTAAGATTTTTTTGTCCAATTTAGGAAAATATATGATTAACTGTTTATCTATTGATTAGTGATTTTTTAATGCTTACTGCCTCGGTAGTCAGGTGGCTGTGCTGCTGCAGATCCGAAGACGAAGGGTTCGAGTCTTCTTCTTCGGATTAAGTTTTTCTGTCAATAAATTCTCAGTAACAGCCCGGAGTTGGGAACTTAGTCGTGTTTCACCGCCGTGCCGAGGCACAGTATGTAACGCCTTGACGGCTTGATGGTAACTTATGCACGATAATATCTCCTGCGTATCTGGCTAGTCCCAGAAAGATTTGCCGCCTTGGCCAATGTCAGTCGGGAAAAGGAGCTTTTTTCTTAACACATGATATAAAGATTCACTTCCGAAAAAGAGATACACGATTCGATTTTTTTTGTGTACGTGTTTGTTGATTTTGAGTGGATTATATTTTGAAGTTGATATTTTTGAAGTGTAGTGTGTACTTATGTAGTTACCTACATAAGTACACACTAAACACACACTTTTTTTAATTTTTATAAGCAGGTTTTATAAACGTTGGGAAATGAGTTTACGCATCATACCTACATACATACAGGTGGCTATGTTGAACTTACCGGCTAGAAAAACCAGCACTAGCCACTAAAACTCAACGATACCTCCCCCGATCAGCCCCGATGGCTGCCTGCCGAAGCAGACCACACAGCCAAAGGGTTGCTCCCACAGTCCACTCTGCTATCAGAGAAGCACCAGGAGCAACCCGCATGGTACACTGCCTGCCAAGGTGGGCCATCTCAAATTGTGTTTCATGGGGACTTATATATAAAACTAAAGAATTGGTTTGTCTGCTAATCTAAGGAACTATAGATCCGATTCGATCATTTTTTGCATTTTATAGTCTATTTATTGTGGTAGGTCATAAGCTACGTATATGAGACTTTGACAAAAGAACCTCAATAACGTTCAAACTTAATTAATTATGGTCGATGACTAGTTAATATTGAACATTTAAAAAATATTTGACTCCCTTTCTGTTTTTATATAGCGCTTAATTCTCCGAAATATATGAACCGATTTTAAGCCGTTTCGATTTCCGTTAAAACGGGACTGCACATTAGGTAAACCTAGATTATCTTTATTGGGTGTTGCCAGATCGTACATGGAAATGTACTTTTATGTGCTAACAAAGTCCCAAACTATAAGCAGATTTGTTCCATTTCGTTTTTATCGTGTCCAAGGAGCTCCACAGCAGGAGACACCTCATCATTCACCATCTGTCGTTTCAGTCGCTTAGTGTACCTGGATAGTATGTGTTGGTTACACTGCCTCAGTGGTGGTTAGCATGTACGGCTGAAGATGCAGATGTGAATAAATTCTGAATAACAGTCCGGAGTTGGGAAGTTGGCGGTGTTTTTTTGCCCTGAGCCTCGGAGAGCACGTAAAGCCGTCGGTCCTATGCCTTAACTCCACTGGTCATGTCGAGTACTTCGTCCCACCAGAGTATGAAAGTAACAAGAATAGAGAGAGTCCGCCGTGTCTGCGCGTACACTTGTGCACTATACATATATTTGGTTGGTTGGCAAGTCTCAACGAGATTAACTGCCGTGGCCGAAATCAGTTAGCAGAACTTAACACTTAACGGCTCAATAGATTTGAGTGAAATTCGAAATAAAATATATCTTTATTATATATCTTGGATTAGAACATCGACGTACACTATGTAAAACTATCCCAGATCTGTTCAGCCGTTTTAGCGTGATCGAGGACAAACATTCAAACAAGTAAACTTTCACATTTATAATATTACTGAGATTATGTACAACTTCGCAAATTCCGTGAAGGAACGCAAATATAATCTTTTTCTTACATCATACGTTCCTTTGCACAGATATGAATAAAAAACGCTAACCGATATTCATATATAATTCAGAATATTATATACATGGTACAGTAGTAGAATAACAAAACTTTTAATGATATTTTTTATCCCAATACTAAAAGTTGGTATGAGCTCTCACTTGTAAGTAGCTTATCAAATCTTGAGAGATTTTAAATCCTAATTTATTTGTAACTAACTTACATATGTATGGAAAATCCGGATGATAATACGATAGTTTGATCATATCTAACTGATCTGATCTGATGATGGAGCCAGAAGGTGGATAGTGGAACTGTTCAATGACTACTACAACATTCGATTTGTTAAAACACCTATGTTTATACCATAAAAGTCGGCATATAGGTGATATTTTTGAAGTTATACTTCTTTTGTCGCGCTAGAGAAAAAAATGATTGTTGAGATTGACTTTTTTACGATGCGTCATATTTAGACCACAGTATGAAGTTAGTCGTTAAATCTCCCTTTAGTATAGTATGATGTATATATTCAAGATACATATTCTGGTATTTCTACATACACAACACGTGTTTTATATGGACAAAAATAATTTTTTTTACAACATTTGATTGAGTTTACCCGGTATCTGTCTGTAATCAAATCTTCCAAATTAAATTTGACTTACTACCAAGTGTCCGTTGTAGTAAAACTAAAAAAAATAGTTGTGATTCAAATAACACTAACAAGTAACAGGAATTTAAAGATAACTGTGTTGAATGCGTTCCTGAAGTCAAGTTGAGACACAAGAGAGACTACAATGCTCATTAGTTTCTCGTTCATATTAAACCGGATATCATCGGATACTTTAAGTAAGGCTGTCACAGTGCTATGACCTTTGCGAAAACCAGATTGGAAAGGAGAAAGTATATTGTGCTAATCTAAATAGCCAATAATTTAATTAAACACAATTCCTGCTAAAAGTTTCGACAAAAATGGGAGAACGGAAATACGGCGGAAGTGCAGGAAGCAAAAGGGATATTTCATTTTAGGACTAAGAATAGTATGTACAAGCGATTTGCCAGGTAGAAAGAAATCGATTGGAGGAAAGAGAAAAGTTTATAGTATGGGAATTTTCAGGAGTAATGGTATCAAGAACTAAGAGTATCATTTTGCGTTTTCTTCTATCACTACCAGTAACATCAGATGTAAATTTTAGGATGTGTTCCTTAACATCTAATGTGCTAACAGGAGTAAAATTATAGATGGGATGATTAAGAAATTCTGCTGAAGGTTGGCTCGATGTGCGAAGTCTTACATTATCATCCATAGGATAACAGATGATTGTTTACATTTAGATGCAATGTAAATAAATAAATGTATTTTTTCTAGGTAAAACTACTAAAATATTGTAACCTAATATTATTACAATCTAGCCAAAAAGGCTAATAAGTAATTTAACTTTAAGTTAGTTTTATAAAATAAAATATCTGAGAATGTGTCCAATGACACTTTTCTTATAGTCTCTAGTTAAGGAGAAGACTTTGTTAAGGGTGCATTTACTATCCCCTGAGAACTTTATTTTGAAATCGTTAGATGATAAGAATATTACTCTTTTTGGTACAACCCTAAATAAAATAAATAAATGTACAAGGAATAACCGATTTTAACAGTGTTATAAAGCAACACTGTTCCTAAAACATATGCCCTTTCTTTATAAAATGCAAGCAAAACCGCTAACGACGACAAAAATCCTATTTCTGATATAAAAAAAAAATATTACTACTAATTGTGACAAGGTTCTAAACCTTTATAAAGTATGGATACGATAGAATCTTTCCACGATATGGGAAGATAACTGTACGTTTATTAATTTCATGTATACAAGATGCATTTATAGTGTAAGAGATTGCAGCATCAAAATAATACTTTCATGGCCCAAAGTAAATTTGTTAGATTATTTATATTTAGACTAGGTTATATATAATTTAGCCTATTTGAGTGCTGTATTTTTTTCATTTTGCTAGCAACATGTCTAATAAAATTTGTACCAATATATATTCTTCTTCTAAAAATAATAAATAAACGTCGAGGAAATAAATTTAAATACTACATTTTAATAATATACTAAGTATGTGAACAATATTTGTTACAAAGAGAAGTCTAGTGCATGTCATGGTAGACCTAAAAAACGCATATCATATGCGTCGTCAGTATTTTGTATGTGTGTACTTTCTAACAATATTAAACAAATAACAGCAGCCGAACACGCTGTAATAATGGGCTTTTTTTGATACAAGATTCATACATACATTCCATACATTCCATAGTCTAGGTGTTGACGAAGAAAGTTTAAGCTTAATTATAGTTAAAAAATGTTGTAGAAACAGTAAAAATGGCCCGGAATTGGGAAGTTGCCGGTGTTACACCCCTGCGCCGAGACAGATCACGTATCACGTTGATTCTGCGCCTAATATCTCACCTCTTTTCTCTACCTTATCCATTAAATAATGCAGAAAAACTGATTTTTAAAGAAACAGAGCGATAGAAAGAGAATTCTAAAAATATTACAACAGAAAAATCTGAATTTTACCAAAAAAATATCAAAACAACTTTAAAACCAAAATTTTTAAATAATATTTGTAATTTAACTCCCAACTAAACGGTTTCTAATATTGACTTAATTTTGTTTACACAATGTATTTGCTCGCTGCCTCATGAACTATGCTCATTGTCAAGGCCTACATATATAAGACATGTGAGCTTCTAACAACATAGCTGTGCCTGTGAACGTAACGGACGGACGTACGTATTTTTATATATTAATTGTATTCTAGTAATAACTTAGCAGCATCAAATTCTATGTTTTTATTTAAGTACTGGTCCAAGTTTAGTTAAAACGATAGGAAATTATTATAAAAAGCATGTTTATTCTGAGCCTGTTACGCAAATATTGATAAAATTTTCATTAATTTTCAACCGACTTCAAAAAGAAGAAGGTTCTCAATTCGGCTTTAATTTTTCTTAATTTATTTTTTATGTTTGTTACCTCAGAACTCCTTCATTTATTAACCGATTTGGACAATTTTTGTTTTGTTGAAAGTGTATATATGTACTTCCAGTTTGGTCCCATTTAAATTTGAAAAAAAAAATCCACCCCTTCTTAAGGCCAGAAGGTAGAACTCCTCGACGGCTAATACATCTAGTATTTACTTTACTTTAGTACTTTGTGTTTGGGCTTATTTTGTTTGATTTGACAAGCCCAATACGAGGAACTATTGGTTTTTAGAACCTGATCTTTTAGTGTTACTTATAAAAGCGAAGTTTAGATTGTCAGTCTTCATATAAAAATTGGCATCTAACTAATTAAAACGGCTTAAGCGAATATTTTATTAAACCACTTTGTTCTTACTCTATGTCTACACTAAAAATAAAAAATAAAAACTTAAACAAATAATGACTTCAAAAAACCTAAAAAGTAGAAAATAACTGATTGGTATTTTTCATTTACTATAGATACCTAGTCAGATATTTTCGAAATCGGGGTCAGCCGATACAAATTAAAGCACATCGACTTCGAAAATATCTGATTAGGTATTTATTAAATTAAATAAAAACTGCCATTCAGTTATTTTTTTAAGTTTTAGTGTTTTTTTGAAATCGATTTTTTTTCAGTTTTTATTTTGCTTTATTATAAAATTCTTACTAAACTATTTGTAAAACGTGATTTTCATTTAGCTATTTTTTTGTCTTTGACAACTTTAATGGATTTTTCGATAGGCTATAATAATGTAGAAGAGTCTCTTTAAAGTTAAAATAATTAAATATATTTTTAGGAAATCCAAATATAATTTTAGTTTACAATTTTAACATCTCTAGCAACACACAAAATAAGGAATATTTCATTGAACATTTTTGCGTGTATAGTTTATTTTTGATCGACTTCAAAAAGGAATAGGTGCGCAATTCAGTTGATTTTTTTATGTGTATGTTAAACGATATCTCCGTAATTAATTATTTTTATGACCTAAGAGGACCAAATTAATTTAACAAAAATAAAAACGATTCATAACGGTAAAATAGCTTCTTAAGTTCTAGTGGTAATTTATACATTGACCGTCGGCCAATACTTGTTGTACTTTGCAGTAGAGAGTTTTTTCCTTCTTTTTAAAAACAAAGCTTTATTTCTAAGATTTATATTATATACACACATACTAGCGACTCACCCTCGCTCCGCGTTCTCGCTCGTCCTTGTTACGTTTTAACGCTTTGTAGTATTTTCCCGCAGTAAAAAGTAACCTATATGTTAGTTAGCCCAGATAACCAGCTAGCTAGCATTATACCCAATTTTATTGAAATCCCTCCAGTGGTTTTTTCGTGATGCGGTCACAGACAGACAGACAAAAGATCTAAAAACTAGAGATTCGCCTATAGATAGCCTCTGTATAGACAATAATGTCTATTTCGATAATATTTTCCGAAAAATATTTAATTTATAGATTCGACTTAATTACATTTTTATTATATGTAGAGATATAGATAAAATATTTTTTTTGGCTTTATCACAGTAAAATGTGTATTTTAAACCAATCGAAATTACATTTAAAAGTCCATAATACTGTAAAAAACTGTTTCGGTAAATTGGTCGTTTGGACAAATAAGTACTGAGACGACGATATGTAGTAATCTATAGAAGGAAGTTAAACCAAAGATAAGTTATGTGTGTATGTATTATATAAATTATCAAGTACAGTTTCTAACGTTTCTTCAATTTATTGGTAGCCATAAATGGTAAACAATTCAACGCCCATTCGTCTTTGAACCTTTACTTCGTTTACCGCTACTCGCTAGTGATGTGATTTTACTTATATTTTAAGGTATTTTTTATATTTTAAGGTATTTTTATATTTTATGGTATTTATGTTGTATTATTACTTATATTTTAAGGTATTTTTATTAAAAAGAGAGAGACTAGTGATGTGTCGGTCTTCAATTATATGTATAAAAGTTTGTGCGTTTGTTACTTCCTTATATTAAAACGGCTGGACGGATTTGGATGGAATTTAGGATACAGGCAGACTATGCCATGAAGCAAAACATAAATCCGGGGTAAATCGCTAGTAAAACTGCCAGTAGGTATACATATATTAGAAAAATAATTGTGTACGTGTATGAGTGCATGAATGTGTATGGATGATTTTGGATGAGTCAGTAGATATAGGTACTATAACCTGGCGTAGGCTCCTTTATGAGTAAACACTAGACACAAAAGCTTCTGTTAGGAATCTAGGGATATCCGAGTGAAGTCAGGGTAAGCCGCTAGTAAGCCATAAAAAATAAATTGATGTTTTTGTTACTCAGGCCATTTAGTCGCCAGCAACAGACTAATGTATTATACATCGATCATCTAATAATAAGTAATTTTCCTTCGAATCTAACGGTAACGGTCGAGTTCTAATGCAATTATGTTAACATAGAGTATGTTAGCTATGATTGGATTTTATTAAATTAACTACCGTTTGCTCGCAGCTTTGTCTGTATATATTTTTTTATGTAGTGTTCATACAGTCACTTCTAAACAGATTTGAGTGAAAATCTCAATGGAGATAGATTATATCCTGGATCATCACAGATAACTTTTTATGATATGAAATTTGTGAATGAATTTAAATTTTGTCCAATTAGACTAATACAAGCAATTATGCTTACAGATAAATAAAACTATTATAGATACTCGTACCTAGCTCGGAGTAAGGAACTATATAAACAAAATGCCATAGAACTAAACATGAAGCTAAACAATAATGTATTAAAATAGTATACAAATTTTAATTTTGATGCTCAGTATTAAGTTAATATATGTTAATAAATAAAAATAGCTAACGGATTTTATAATAAAGAAAAAAAAATATATAAACTTCCAGTGTGAATATAACTTAAGCTTAAAATATAAAAGAATGTAATATTTTTTTTATAACTCATATTTTATTCTTAAAAATTATATATAAAAAGGCCAAGAGAGAAGTTTAATTCTTTTACTATTTAGATTTTATTTGTGTCGGGGGTCACTTAATTTATTTTTTATTATTTCATTCTTCTTAAATCACTCGCAGACAACTAATTCTAAAAGATAACTCTCATTGAGCATTCTTTTAAAACAAAACACGCTATATATGCTGTAAGTTTCTGAGGAATTGAACAACCCGCAGACTATTTGATGCTACAGCATCTGCTTAAGGTTAGCATGTCTTGGAAGTACCACCGAAGTAACAGTACTCCTTTCAAATCATTCGGATCTGTGAAAGTTAGTAAGACCCTTTCGTCAAGTAGAAAATGACTGAAGATCATGAAAGGCCTAAGCAGATCTTCATAAATTATAGCTAAAAACCATCCCGATCATGTCAATTCAATTTCAAACAAAACAAACCACATCAAAATCGGTCCATTCATTTCGGATCTACGATGCCACACAGATATACAAACAGACACACAAACAGACACGTCAAACTTATAACACTCCTGCTTTTGCGCCGGGGGTTAAAAATAAAATTCAATAGATAAATAATTTAAGTACGTTGTGCATTTAATGTAGATCAAAATTGCACTTTACAACATATCATTGAAATGTATAACATAGAAGATATCACAGATTCAAAATTATTAATCGCTCGAGCGAAACGTACGCTGCAAACGTAACTACCTGTGGGCCTTAAAAACCCTGCAGAAAGTCCGCGATAGCATGTGTCTATCTCCTAAAGTACACTCAGAATAACTATTTTTATCTATTTAAAAAGTACCTAGGGACGCCCCCGAGCAAGGTGAGGATAAGTCGCTAGTTTTAAATAAAACTATGTTTTGATTTCTGTAAAACATTCGAAACATCGGAAATCGTAAATGAAAATAAATACGTGACAAAATCTGAAAAGATAGTTTTATTTAAAACTACATATCTTTTATATAAATAAAAATGAATGGCTAAATGTGTTGCACAAAACTCTAGAAATGCTGGACCAATTCGGCTATTTTTTTCTTTTCAAATATTCGTTGAAGTCCGAGGAAGGTTTTTTTAACGAGAAAAGTTGGAAAAGATGCCCGGAAAAACGTAAAAACCATAATTTTTCTAATTGGGCCTGCTACACACTTGATCAAGAATTTTTTTTAAATTATTTTAATATGAAACCGCATAAAGTAAAAACTATTTTAATAGTAACTCAAATTTATGATTTTAGTTTCAGCTATTCCACACAAGATGGCGGTGACAAATTACAGTCGGTTGTTAATAATACTCGCTATAGCCCAGTGTGGCGTTGCGACCGATCTTTTAAGATGTAAGTAAAATTACCATATATTATGTATAAATGTATTTTTGTATATACATGTAATATATGTATCTATTTTTGTGTTGATACAATTACCTAGCCCATTGGTACAATGCTGGCTTGGTTAGCCAAGTAAAGCGGGTTCAAACCTTGGGTCTCGTGCCTCTGTTATTATATATATTCACATGTGCTAATCATTTCCAACAGGATTACCACTTGCTTATACGGGGAAGGAAAACCTCGCGAGATAGTTAATGTACATGTCTAGGAGAAAAAAATAATTTTAGAAAAGCGTGTGTGAAAAATTATTAAACATATTTAAATATATATATATATGTATATATATATATGTATATATATATATATATATATATATATATATATATATATATATAATCTGCATAATAATAAATGATGCCTTTACCACAGATCGCATAATACTATACTAGTACAGGTGCCTCATCCCATACAAAGAAATTGGACAGCGCTAATTTGGACTATTATTCGGGCTATTTTTGTTTGCTTGAACAGCTAATATATGTCGTTGATTCGCAAATAGTTAAACTGTTTTATTTTATAAATATGTGCCAACTAACTAACGTATGCTAAATATTGTAAAATTCGTTTTGCATTCAAATATTATTTTTTTGTGATTTAAACAATTTTCAACTATGATAAACAATTCGTAAGAAATAAACGCGCCATCTGTGAATATACACTACAAATTCATCATCTAATAGCTGATATTTTAATAATCAGTAAAATTACGCAAATTTGATTTACGGTCACATTATTTCGTTTCCCTTCACTTACAATATTTTTTAAATCAATAATACACCTTTTTGGGATCTATTTTTTTGTCATTTTTTAATTTAACACAACTTTATTAACAAATCGATACATGTAATGTCATCTATTGACATTTATTTTTCTGTGTTCATGATGAAACCCCTTGCCTTAACATTAAACATCCAGCCTTCTATTCAAACCCTAATAAAAAGCTATTGCATACTAGATGGCGCTATTAACGGATCGGGCATAAAAGTAAATACTGGGCTAGAAATTCTCAGTAGCAATTTAAAGTAATGAAATTGACGGTGATACAACCCTCATGCCAAAATAGAACACAAAGCTATCGACAACGCTAGTCGTATTAGATTCTTTATTTAATGAATTATAAGAGTAAATAAACAAAAAAATATAAGAGAAACAAAAAGTGTTTTGAAGGTTTGCGCTCACTTTTTGCAATAATATCTCTCGCACAGTTGCCTAATTTTTTTTTTGAAACTCTATATAAATTGTTTACTATTACTCGATTATTTGTATGTATGGCTCTTATTCTGAAATTTTAATTCTTAGCGAAAAGACAGACTGGTCCTGGCAGCATCTTCACAGTGGGTAACGGTGAGCAGTGTTTGGGAGCTGACAGGTCGACCGGTGGAGTCTGCTTATCTAGGAACCAATGTAACACGCAAGGAGGGAAAGCGATTGGGTTCTGTGGAGTGTTCGCTACTTGTTGCTCTTGTAAGTAGTCATATTCTATATCTACTCTACTGTACCATATAAAATAGTCTAGGGTTTAAAAATGACATAGGCTAGTGTTTATCCCGATTTATCGAAAATTAGGAAAATTTAATTAGAGATATTAGATATTGCATGAGTTTTTAAAGTTAAAATTGAATTTAAAGTCTTAGATTAACCTTATATCGAGTTTAGTTTGGCTTCATTTTATTGTTCTATGTGCTCCCTCTATATTATACTCTAACGTTTCCCAATAACTTATATATCTTTTGTATAGGAATTGGATATAATTTGTATGGAGCTTATGTCAAATTTCTATCTTTAGTAAGGAAAACTTCAGATAGATGGAATCATAGAAATATTTATTTACTAAAACAAGAAATCTATCGACAGTGAACGCGTGCGACATAAGAACTAACACTAAAGTAGCAGTCTTCATCAATCCACCCTTAAGCAAAGAGTCTTCGGGCCTAGAATGTTCTTACAACATCGAGATAAACAATAACAATGTGTGTCAAATGAGAATCGATTTTGAAACCTTCAACTTGGCTCCACCAACTACTGTGAGTATGATCTTACTACGATTGTAATTCGAAAGTATGTATGTGTGTTTGTTTGTTACGCCTTCAGGTTGTAACGGCTAAACGAATTTCAACGAAATTTGGAATGAAGATAGCTTATACCCTGATTTAAAATACTACCATATGTATTTATATGCCTACGTAAAAAAGTCCACGGTAGGTAAGTGTCTGTCTGTGTGTGCTTATCTCGTGAACTTGGATACGATTTTTGATTTGATTGATTTAGAAAATTTTGGTGTGTTCAAATTTTCCGTAGTACTTATAGGAGCTATAAGTTATGTTTTATGAGATTTACACATTTTAAAAAAAGTATTTTTTGACTAAGTTGAGGAATTAATGAAAACGTTAGTGATAAATATAATGTAATTAAAATATTTTCTTTATTTCTAGATCGAAGAAGTAGAAAACGTAACTCACCGCCCGGGATACACCTGCAAGAACGATATCTTTCAAGTGACCAATCTGCACGCCAACTCTGACGTCCTGCCGTCTCTATGTGGAGACAACAGTGGACAGCATAGTACGTTACTTCATTAACATGCTTTTATTACGCTATTAAAATTCTTAGCTGCCTCGATGGTGTAGTGGCTGGCATGTACAGCTGCAGATCTGGAGGTCCTGGGTGCGAGTCCAGGGTCAGGTCACTTTCAGTTATTGAGTATTACTGTCAAGAAATTCTTCTGAAGTTAGGAAGTTTGCAGTCCTGCGCCTTAACCCAAAACAATAATTATTAAAATGTTTGTCTGTATATCTGTGTGCTTTACACATAAAAAATACCAAACTGATTTAAATCGGTTAAGTGATAACTTACTACTCGAGTCAACATTTAATGAACCTTTTACTACACAAAAAGTCTTCATTCTCACAGAAAAATACAATAGTTGGTTCTGTCGCGTTGTCCTTAGAAACCTACATGGCTAACACTAGCTTAATCTTTTGAGATACATTACAAGAATATAATATGAAAAATTGTTTGTCTTAAAAAAGGTTATAGAAAGTTTCGCAATAGTATACGTCTATCTCCTAAGGTACACTCGCTATAACTATTTTTATTTATTGAAAACGCAATTATGGACTAGTCTTCTATAATTCGCTACCATTTGGTCCACAGTGTATGTAAGAGTGAACGCGACAACCAACAGTAGGTCCATTCGTCTAAACTTCAAGCTGGCGGACCGCGTATCGCAGCCGAACTTACCGCAGGCCACGTGGAAGATTAAAGTGACACAGCTAGAATGCTTCAATACTCTGGGGTAAGTGTGGAGGATAGTTAAAATTTAAATATATAAGGATTATAGATATGATATTAAGGAATATATAAGTAAATGTCATATCTAATATATTTCATCTTGATCTATATTGAAAACGGCTGGACCGTTTTGGCTATTTATTTTAAATGTTCGATTTAGTCCGAAAAAAGAATTTTAAGGGAAAAATTGCCCTTAAAAATGAAAAAAAAATAAAGATTAACACTTGTCTTACGGTGAAGGAAAACATTGTGACCTGTATATTTGAGAGAATCTAACTCGTTTTCAAATACGTGTCAAGACTTCCATTGCCAAGTTGCCCAGCAGTAAGACTTTTATTGGGCTGAATTATTATTGTAATTATTGTATATAAAATTATTGTATTACAGCAAATATCGTGATGGTTTATTGGACGCTATAACCGCGTCTCTACCGGCTACTCCCTTCACTTCAACTGCAGACAGAGACGAGTATTTAATTGGTATGTTAGTAATTTAAAGAAAAATTATGAAGAAAAGGATTACTATTCAAATATGCTTTCCCCTCCTTTCACCCCCTAGGGGTTAAATTTAAAAAATAGGTATAATTTTATTACTAAAGGTAAAAGCCAATGTGCTACTCCAGTTTATCTGCATACTAAATTTGATCCAAATCCTTACAGCCATTTCAGCATGAAAAAGTAACGAATATACATACGTATATAAACATTCCCATTTAATCTCCCCAGCTCCCCCTGGATGTTTGCAATATTATCCAGACCGCGCGGGTTCCTTCGAGTCCTTCAACTACAACCGAGGCGCGGGCCCCTACATCGCTAACTTGGCGTACGCCACTTGCTTCAGGCGGACTTCCGACGTGTGTGGCATTAAGTAAGTCAAAGTATTCTAGATGACAGATACAGGTTAAGAACAAAATTATTGTTATGATGATGATGTTATGATACAAAAAGATGGTTAAATTCCTAAGAATTTTGACTAACAGTAAAATTAACTATAAAAACTTTTTAAAAGATCCGTACCTAATTTTGCTGATATAAAGAGCAAAAGAATTGTATATATATATCATTGTATTTCGCACATATAAGGTTGATGAGTTGGTTTCTAAGATGAGGTCTGGTGTCGGGTATATGAAAGCCAAATATGACACCCATGCCCAGAACTGGTACGTTTGACCTTATTTAATCATTACAAAACAGGTTAACAGCAGCCAGCTTCGACATGGCGTACCACGACGACTCAAACCTATATCTAGACACGGACTGTCAGGCGAACCCCGTGACACAAGGAGCCGCGCAGTCTGAAGACTACTTGTTCGTGCCAGAAGCAGAAACTGCTGATGGATTGAGAGGATCCAAGTTTTGTGGTTCAAGCGCTGCTAATCAAATCATTGCTTGTAAGTATAATTTTATTACTAGCTAGTTTTTGCTTGTGACTTCACGTATCAAATACGTCATTAAAAAGTAGCCTATCTCCTTTCCAAATTTAAAATGAATTCGTACAGTGTGGAGAAGAAACAAAATTATATACTTTACTAGCGACACAGTCTTGTTTCGCTCGGGTTCGTCCCTAGCTCGATTCCCAATACAAACTTTCATCCCTATTTTCACCCCCTTAAGGGATGATTTCCGAGATAAAAAGTATCCTATGTGCTTCAGAGTCTTCTTACCAAACTATCTTCTTACCAAATTTCTTCTGAATCGAATTATGAGATTTAAAAAAAAACTTATTTTAGTAAAAAAAAATCTTTTAATTCCCTTCTATGCAAAACTTGTCTTGATAATATATAAATAAATAACAAACACAAAAAATAAGAATTATCCAATTTTGTGCAGTCTATAAATAGATGAAATAGCAAATTAATTTTTAAAAGACATTAACTAATACCTAACGACTTACCTCACGCACGTGTGTCCCTAACAACATTACTCCAAGTCATGGTCTATCGACTATCTGCACAAATTTTCATCCAAATTGTTTCAGCGTGTATAAATAACAAACATACACTACATATACAGATTTTCGTACTTATATTTTTATTATATTATAGTATATATATATAGTCCGATTAAGTTTGAAATGCACGCATGTTATATAATAATATCATTATTATTTCACAGCCACGCCCTCCGCACCCCTGTACGTGCAATTTAAGAGTGACAATTTAGTAACTAAGGATGTGAATGAAGCTGGATACCGTTTCAATTACAACGTATTAAATAATTGCTACATTAAGAAATAACGTGATTTAAAAACACATTGATTGGTGCTTACGGATAAATCACGTTAAAACGTTGCCATGAATCAGTCTAAAATTTAGTAAAAAATAATATTTAAATTTATTTATGGGCTAACTGCTAACACATTTGTATTTTTAGTTTTTCATTTTTGTTTTTTATGATGTTTTTATTGTTTTATTGCATGTATTTTTTTTAATATACTTAAAGGCCAGATTTATAAAGAAACATTAACACACAATTTATAATAATATGATAACACTCAAAATAAGTGATACTATCATTATTATTATTAGTTTGAATGTTGAATGAAGCTTGAATGTGTTACATCTAAATATTATTTAAACTAATATTGGACTGATGTATTTAAATATATTTATGAGATTATTTATTTAGACCAGAAAAGCATTTATATTATTTTTATATCAAAATAAATCGTCTTAAATATTGTTTTTGTTTTCATTTTTTCTTTACAGCCCGCATATATTTTAATGTTTTCTTATCCAAATTCTACAAATTAACACTATGATATTTTAAAACTGTCTAATTTTGTTTAAATCACAGATGAGAATACTATAACGTTTCTTAATTTTACATAAACTTCTTTAAGAAATCAATACATAATATAATGACATCTATTGCCATATATTTAAACTATATTTTTAGTTCTTTATGAAATCCCATGATTTAAATACATAATTAGTGCAAGCAACTATAAAACTTGCGAAAAAGTATTCGTATCAAGAATATTTTTATAGAATTTTAATTGATTATAATTAATCAATAAATAATCGAGATGGACAAAATAAACCAAGTCAGGGTTACTAGTAAATAAAAGATAATTTTCAATATAAAATTTTTATTTCGATGTTGTCTCAAAACTCGACAGATAATAGTTTCAACATAAATAAATGCATTTTTATACTATAATGTCGTAGTTATAGTTTATCCATTTATTACAAATAAAAACATAAATATTGTGATGTATGGAACTAAGTTGAATTCTCTTGAGCTTTACTCAGCAGAAATGCTTTTCGAGCTTTTTCCATTCATACGCACACTACACTCTTATTTTTAAACCAATTTGATCATTCAAAACTACTCATAGCAGACTAAGTCGATAATGTTAAATTTCATTTTATAGCGAAATATTAAAATATGTATATAAAAAATGCATAACAATACAGTATAACTTAATTCCGTAAAATATTCAAAGTAATATTTGGAGTAATATCTACACATAATATATAGAAATCAATGAATCAGTAATAATATTATTATAAGAAATCTTTCTTATGAACTACGACATTATTATATCTATTATATTTCCATCGAAATTCAACGTACAAAATATAATATAAGAAATTAAAAACATATTTACATTCATATACTTAAAAGCAATACCAATAATGCATCAAAATGACTACACATATTATGTAAAAGATAAAACTAATAATAATTCATTGTGATTGTTTACGTATTTTCGTTGAAAGGACCATTTATATTAATTAAAACATCTTAAAAATAACTTAAATAATATAGTCATTTTCAATGGATTCATAAAATCAGTCAGTTGATTTATCGATTATCAAACTGGGGTTTAAAATAAGTTTAAGTAAAAAACTTAACTGGTAATGTATGTATAATGTCATAAAAATAAGAAAAGCTTTCAAAGTCACGTTATTTTATGACGAATAATAATTAGAAATTTACTATAAATTCGGATTTTAATAAACAAAAACGTAAAATAAATTGAATTGTATGATTGTCGTATTAAAAAATCATATTTTATGTTTACTATTAGTAGGTAGACTCAAAATAAAAAAAAACAAATATATTCGATACCTGTTTGTGATATTTTAAATAGTAGTAAATTCATATATTATTATACATCATTATAAAAAAGAGCAGAGAGATTTACGCAATTAAAAAACAACGGGCAGTCCCATGGTTTAATAAAATATTCAATCTTAATAAAATATAAACGTCTAAGCTTAAAAATTTGAAAGTCAAATATATTTGAAGGCCAATTTTAATCACTGGAATTTTATAAAGGAATGTTAATTAACATTTTTGTCCTATATTCATATTATATATAAAGATCGACGTGTCTTTTTGTTATATTATTCGTGCAACGTGCAAAGAAAAATATTGTAACTCAGCATTGAAATAATTTTAATTAGAATAAATTTCCACATAATATATTTTTTATTAAAAAGTTTAAAAATATTTTATGGAAGCTTAGGGAATTATTATTAAAAATAAACTAAGCCATTCATTTTTAATAATTGTCCTTTATTTCATAGCGACAGTTAGTTGCTTTCAAATATCTGAGAAACGTGACACATTAGAATACCACGTTATTTTTTTAAGTTTTATATTTATATTGTGTTGCAAGTATAGAAAAAAAATTAGCCAAATCTAGGCATTGCCTTAAATGCTTTATGTCCTTTTATAAATACAATACTGAGTTATAATATTGTTCTTTATAATGTCAATATTTACACAATATTTTTAATATTAGTCAAGACGAAGTATAATCTGATAGATATCTCTGTATGTATTACTTGATAATTGTTTGTTTTTAAAACCAACATGTCTACGTTACCATCAAATTATATCCATAGGTGGAACCTTCGTTGAATTATTAATAAAATTAATATTCCGGAAAGTGTAAATATCAAAAGTAAAGAATTATATAAAGATATTCTTTGATATCAGGTTTGCGTTACTTTTTAAGTGCGAGTACTATCTTATTTTATATAATTATTTTATACATAACTAAAAGTACATTTAAACACATCGATTCTCGCGTTTCATTGATTCTATAATTATTTAGAATTGATTCGTAAGTTCAATATAAAATATAAAAAAATGCAACATATACAAAAACATTTTTAATGGACTAAATTTAATATATTAAAGCATAAATAAAATAATCTATCTGAGCGTTCATTACAAAATTTTATAAGTAATTTCTTACATTCTAAGCATTTACATAAATATAAAAACCGATTCAAATTCCATTTGCATTGATTCCAAAATAATAAATCAATATTACAAATTGATTCATTATATACATTTATGAATCAAATCGTTTACAGCTTTTAATTATATTTTCTCTTTTAAAATCTTCACAATTCATAATTAGAGGGTAATAAAACAATGTCTTTTTTTAAATTATTACCATAATCTATCTATAAAATGGTGGGCCTCGACTTACTGTGTAAGTAGAAAGGGGAATCCCCTTAGTACCATATATGGGTTCAGGAGCGTTTTCATAGTCCACATCATAATAAATGCCGGTTTGATTCTAAAAAAGAAAAAGTTTAAGATAATTTTGAATTATTATGTATACTATGTTTTTTATTCTTTTTTTTATTATTCTAAATGCAAGTTTAAGAAAAATCTTGTATACTTTTCAATTCAATCGAATTTTCGTAATGATTAAAATGAAATATTTTTTTAGAGTGAAAATTTCAACTCTACCTATTACGGTTCATGAGATAAAGCCCGCTGATAGACAGACGGACGGACAGCTTAGTAATAGAGTCCCATTGGCACCTTTTGGATACGAAACCCTGAAAACCCAAAAAATACTACTCACATGCATGCTTCGGGCGCGGGACTTAGGCCTGGGTACGAGAAGGTCAGCGCGGTCCTGTGCGAGGCTGGACGCCTCCGAGCTGGTCGTGTCCGACGTATGGTTTGTATAGCCTGTTGGTAAATAAATAATTAGAAAAATAATAATATGTTGGGACATTAGAACAGGTGAGGAATATTTGTATGGAAAGATATTTTAAGTGAATTGTTTTTGAGATGACCAAAAACCAAATTCTTAGGTTTTATATATTAGTATACTCCTACATTGCAGTTTTTGTATTTTTTCTCAGAAATGAGACATTTTCCCGCGGTAAAAAGTATCCTATATGTTGACCTGGATAACCAGCTATCACCAAACTACATTTCATCAAAATCCTTCCAGTGGTTTTGCTGTGATGCGGTAACAGACAGACAGACAGATAGACAGACAAAAATTCTAAAAACTATAGATTCGACCTCTGTTACGATAATAATGTTTATTTCAATAAGATTTTCCAAAAAATATTTATTGTACAGATTCGGCTTAGTTACAATTTTATTATATGTATAGATAAATTATGTATTTGGTGGAAAATTTGCAACAACTTACCATACATGTGGTGTGGGACGGACGTGTTGGCTCTAGATGTAACCGTGTTGAGAGTGCCCGTGTGTGGGCCGTGCATGCCGAGCCTGAGAATAATTAAAAACATTATATTTAGCCCTTTTTTTAGAGTCATACTTTTGGGCGTGGGCCTACCTTCAATAGAAGGGGAATCATGCCATAGTCCACCACGCTGGCCAAGTGCGGCCGGAGTGAGCATGTCTTTCGAAAACTTGCTAGGTACTCTCAGACATGCAGGTTTTCTCACGATGTTTTCCTTCACCGTTAAGACAAGTGGTGATCATGTTGGAAATGATTCGTACATGAAAATATCAGAGGTGGGAGACCCGGGATTTGAACCCGCTTCACTCGGGTGTCCCAAGCGAGTGCGTTACCACTGACCATACCACTACCTTTATATTACATATACATATAAATAAAGATATGTTAGTTACCTAGGTAAAGGCACGGGCGGTAGAGGCGGGTAGCCCCCAAACATGGCCGACGACGGGCGAGTGGCCATCGTCTGTGTGTGGTCTGTCGACTGGAATATGTAACAAAAGGTATAAATATAGATATAGAAAGTTTGTGAGTGTGTGTATGTGTATTCCTGTATGTTGAAAGGGTTGAACGGATTTGGATGTAATTTAGTATGACATGGACATATAGATTAGTGTTGATAGTAAAATGTGTCGTAAATATGGCCCTGGTTGTTTGCTACCTCGGAAACGGATCTAACAATTTGGATCATTTTTTTTATTTAGATATGGTAAAACTTTCTTAAATTTACGCGAATATTTGACTATTATAAATAAAACTATCATTTCGAATTTTTTCACAGATTTATTTTGGTTTTTGGTTCCCGACGTTTAGACGAGTACATCTTAGATGAATCTGTCCGGAAAAATACTTTTATTTAGATAAGGTTTTTCTCTTAATATATATATATATATATATATATATATATATATATATATATATATATATATATATATATATATATGTGTGTGTGTGTGTGTGTGTGTATTTTCCTAAAAACGTGATTTTTTTCATTTTATCCAAAAATCGCCCAGGTACTTTATTGATTGTGTGATATAGTTCTTACCGCATAATGATTTGCTTGAACCATCGCTTCTGCTATTTGAGCCCATCGCATTCTCTCCTCTAGTGTCACCTAAAAACAATAAATTATTATTATACAAAATCTTTTACATACAAACAAAATAATATATGCTGTTTGATGATAAACGCGTCGTTTGAGAATGACTGAAACGATTTAGTTATTTCAAAATAATTGTCCAAATAAGAGTTTTAGGGGAAAAATAAGTGGGGAACGTGTAAAAATGAGAAAATGGTAAATTTTAGAAAAAATTAATGTAGCTTATTTTTATAGTATTTTTGTTTGTATAAATCTTAAGATTATAAACAAATTTATTATAAATTAAACAGAACAAAGTCAGGCTGGTTAGATATATTATACCGGGAATACATTCTGAAAAGTATAGGCAAACGTAAGATCTATTAAAAAACTCAAGCAAACCCAAGGTATAACCACTATTATTTACCTGGTATGGAGGCTGTCCTACTGGAGGGGTCTTTATGGTGTTAGACGCCATGTAGTTGAACACAGGCGACCCCATGCCCACGGCTTTTTGCTCGCGGGACCATTTACGACTGAAAATAATATAATAATAAATAATTTTTACTAATTTTTGAATATTCAAATTAATTGTTTGATCGTAAAATTAAAATTTGTAAATTGAAACTGTTTGTATTTATCGGATTTTGACATCTATCGGCAGTCTGAGTGTTAGCGTTAACACGCCACGTGACCATGTCGATGACGACTTACATGAATTTACCCCCCATCCAAAAATAAAAAGTACTAATTATGTCACTTTGGCATTTATCTATACATCATCATGATCTCCCTGCCCATTTCCCGATCACTTGGGGTCGGCGCAGTACATCTTCTGTACTGCTGATAGAATTTGGCAAAAGTTTTACGACCGGCCGCCTCACGCCTGCCTGACGTCAACCCTCCTTGGGAATGCTATTGTTTATCGCGGACGTCTTGTAGTATGCACATTCGAAATTTTTTAAAACATTTTTTATAGTATTACTCTAAAGTTTTAATGTAATTTTCTTATACATATATATTAAAATAAATGTTTTGACGTTTTTAAATTCAAAAAAAGAACTGCAATTATCTATACATACCTACATATATATATATAAGTAAGTAGTTATACACTACGCATATATAACTTTGAATACGTACATATTATAAATATAGACACCAATGACATCGGGCTCATCACACAAGTGAATGCATCCAGCGAGATTCGAACCCGCGACCGTTGGCACAGCAAGTAAGCACTACAAACTGAGCCGAATGTGTCGGTAGAAGTCGAAGAAGAAGGATGTATACGTACCTCCAGGACATGAGGGCGGCGAGCGTGAGTCCGATGACGAGCGCAGCAGCAAGGCAGGCGCCCACGGCCACGCCCACCACCTCACCGTCCACCTCGCACGTCGACCCGTAATAACCAGATGCGCAGCTGCAACCCACCACACACTTCAGTTAGTTTTATTATACACACACTTGTACGTATAAGAAAAACGTGTGTGTCAGTGCGAAGGGTGAAATTTTAGCAGAGGTAAGCCGTTTCAAAAATATACAATTTTTATATACGTATTAATGCAAAAAGAAATAAAGTTATTTCCAAAAGAACATTTATACATTAAAAAATTAATTGTATGTAAAATTACAGCAAAATAATTTTTGTATGGACCCTTCGCAAGAAGTTATACTTCTTTGGCGTAACAGAACGAAAATACTTAAAACTTTCATCCCGTTTGTCACTACTCCTTGTTTGTAAAAGGAATGCATCTATCATCATGTCGTTTTTTGATTGTCGGTGTGCGATAAAAATTTTACTCTCATTTTTTTTCAAACGCGCCAAAAGAAGTATAACTTCAATACTAGCGACTTTTTTACGCCTAGATACGTTTTGCTTTTTATAATAATTAACACATTCTGACGTACTATTCCACTTACAGATCACGTCATTTTACTGTTGTCTGATTTAAGTAACAATGTACAATTATACACTATTCTATACACTAGAGCAGCCATACTCAACCTTTATTTTTATAGGGGCCACAAACACGTTTCAGTTGTGGTGTCGAGGGCCGCAAGCAAAAATTATTTAGGTCTTAATAAAAACGTAATTCCAAGTTAACGATGTAGTTACTTGTTTAACAAAGATATGTTATAATGCGATTTTTGATGCTGCCGCAAGCGGCCCGCGAGTTGAGTATAGCTGCACTAGAGTATATTATGACATATAATATTTTTGGTGAGATATCCTTATGTGTATCTGTTAATGCACACGTATATATATGAAAGTGTATATGTCTGTGTGTACATATGTATGTATGTATGTGTGTGTGTATATATGTATATATATAAGTGTGTGTGCACTCACACGCAGTAGGGGCGTCCCTGCGCGTAGCGGCACTGGCCGCGCTCGCTGCAGTGCGAGGCCGCGCACGCTACACAGCGTCGCCCGGAGAACATCACGTGTATAGCCTCGTCTAGTGTGGTATCTGGGCACGTACACCTGCACGTGACAGAGTGGTGGGTTAAAATCCCATTCGCTAAAATGGAAATTATAGTAACAAAAAATGTCGGGGACATCCCTAGGTGCTTCTATGTAGAAGTTCATCCAGTTCGTCAGCATGAAAGAGTAACATACATACATTCATACATACAAATAAACTTTCACATTTTGAATAGTAGTGTAATTTAAGTAACAGTAATATAAATTGATTTTTGTATGTATGTATATATGAATTTAGCCCTTTTTTTAATTTTTTTCTTTATTATAATAAAATCCGTCACCTGTTTTTATATATCAACATTTATTTATTTATCACTCAGTATACAAATAATTTTTGTATACTATACTATTTTTAAGTTACTTTTCCTTTTATTTGGCATTTCATCATTATTTGAATTCATGTTTAGTTCAATGACACTCTATTTCTATTATTCCTTAGTTTAGAGTATATTTATGTTTCTACTTGTTCATACTTACTTAAAAGCGCCCCAATTATTAGTGCAAGTAGCTAAAGCGTGACAGTCGTTTAGTTCACGAGATGAACATTCGTCCAAATCTGGAAAATTAAAAAAATATAAATAATTATTTATTTACATGATGGTATTTAGTGAAGTGGCTTGTGTAGTGTATTGTATTGAAGTTTTGTATTATAGTGTGTGTATGTGTGACACTATCTATTTGTCCTGTGCGTGTCTATGTATCTCTGTCTCCCTATATCGGTGTGGTTCAACCTGTATGATTATATGGCTGTGTGCTACGATCGGTCTATGTGTGCGTATCTGTGTGTTTCTGACTATCTATATATCTACATAACTGTCACTTTGTCTATATTTTGTGTCTGTGAATATTTGTCTATCTTTTCTTTATCTATACATATAATAAAATTGTAACTAAGCCGAATCTGTGCATTAAATATTTTTTGGAAAATGTTATTGAAATATACATTATTATCGATACAGAGATAGAATCTATAGTTTTTAGAATTTTTGTCTGTCTGTTACCGCATCACAGAAAAACCACTAGAGGGATTTTGATGAAATTTGGTATGGTGGTAGGTAGTTATCCGGGTCAGCATATATGCTACTTTTTACCGCGGAAAAATGTCTCATTTCTGAGAAAAAATACGAAAACTGCAATGTAAGAGTATACTAATATGTAAAACCTGAGAATTTGGTTTTTGTTCATCTGAACGCCTGTCTATATATATATATATATGTTTGCGTGTGTGTGTGTGTGGTGTACCTGTGGGTGGCATGACGCCGGCGGGCGCGGCCCAGAGCGCGGACGCGCCGAGGTTGCCGGCGCGGCGGCGCAGCACGCCTGCGACCGCGCGCTGCAGCTCAGGCGCGGCGGCCGCGCGGGACGTCTCCGCAGTGTCCTGCAGCTGGGGGGCGGGGGAGTTAGTGAGTTAGTCAAATATATACAGATAAGTAAAATTAAAGTGTCTGTTAATATTAAATTTTTTATGTCAAAATAACAGCGTTTTACTAAATGCATATAAGAAAAACACCATTTTTTAATTTATTGTCTATCTGTTTGTTCCGAATAATCTCTGAAACGGCTGGACTAATTTTGCCGGGACTTTCACTGGAAGATAGCTGATGTTATAGGGAGTAACATAGGCTACTTTTATTTTAGAAAAAGAATTAGGGTTCCGCTCAAAAAAGTAAAATGTACCTAGGGACGAACCCAAGCGAAGCGAGAGTCGCAATCAAGGAAGGATCACACAAATGAATGCCGCCCCCACCGGGATTCGTACCCATGACCGCCGGCACAACAAGTAGAGTCACTACAAACTGAGCCATACGTGTTGTCTAAAAGCTAGTCAGTAGAATTAGTAGGAAAGTGTATACGGGCGTTTATACATATAACTTGCTGAAATTCTGAGAAACAATGTAATTATTTTCCAAATTACAAAAATTTACTAAGCTTGATTTTGCTTTGCCTTAACTCCTAAGCTATTTTATCCGATTAAAAATGTTTCACACACAAGTCGCAGGAAATTTCATGCTCAATAATTTTTGTAATAACTTAGATGAAACTGGAGAGATGTTCTCGAAAAACTAGTTTATGGTACCATTTTTTCAACATGGCGGCGCGAGCGGCGGTCACTCAAGGTCGCAAATTCGGAAAAATAATTAGTATTTACTGTAACACTGCCAATTTAGAACCCTCCTTGACCTTTTGTAAGTCTGAACCTACCGTGACCGGACTAAAGGTACCAACCTTAAAATATTTGAAGCCCACTTGACACTCACCAATATAGTATAATTGACGTACACCCCGCGATGTTCGTCGTCTCCATTGTGTATAGAATTCACGGAACCCGCCACGAAGTCGTCAGAAAATGGCGTCATTGAAAATGCCGAGTCGATCTGTAGAACAAACATTTCTTTTTACCCGACTGTGCGACGCAAAGGAGGTATGTGTTTATCAGTCTATGTATGTCTGTATGTTTGTTCCTATGTGGCGTTCGTATGTAGGCTATAAAAATAGTTAAAAATTAAAGTGTCAGTTTCAGGCGCCAATGTGTGTCTTTAAAAAAACTTTCAAACCAATAGAGTGTGATATCAAAATAAAGGTTTTTACGAGGCAATCCCAAATATACAAACCACTTATATGTTTAAAAGTAATTTAGGACAAAAAAATGCTAAATATAACTTCAAATATCTAATTGGCAAAAACTAAACTAGCTATAATTCAGTTTTATCAAAATTGAATCAAGGAGGATTAGTAGAGTTATCAGAAAATTTCAATAATAACGTCTTTGTGATCAAGTGATAACATTGCGATCAAAGGCGGTCATTTGGGAATTTTTAATATAACAACAATGTAAAAATTCACGCACAATCTTTTAGTCTCTAAAACAGATTTGAGACGTACAGACGGACGGACTATCAACTTTGTTTTATACTGTAGATGTGCGATGTTAAATAAAAAATATAAAAAAGGTGCATATATCTTTCTTCTTTTCTATTCTATTTTTCCTGTTGTACTAATTTTTGTTGGGATTTTTTTGTACACCCATAATAAAGAGTTAATATTATTATCTTTCTAAATTAAAAAAAGAACAATATTTCCGGAATTTTAATTATTTGTTTTTTTTTTATAATTACAAAGTATATAAATTTATATAAAAATATTAAAAAATCACTCACCATTAACACTCCATACAGAATGCCAAAAAAACGCAATACATTAAAACAGATGAAATATTAAAAAAAAAACAAAACAACAGATAATAAATAATGAACTCACAGCTCTGACAGCTTCATAGCTCAATTGTTGGTACGGATCAGACTCCTTGTCTAAAAACTTGGAATCCCACGCCAACTGAAATGAAAAAAACATTACATATATTTTATTTTAGTACTTATCCCTAGAGTCCCTATTCCCAAATCCGACCACCGTTTTCAGTGTCAAAGAGCAACAAACATACACACTCATATACAAACTTTCATATTTAGTGGTGTGATAATTAAGTAAAATAAATGGCAATTTGTGATTAAAATATGTAAAAATAAACATACAAAGATAGGCGCGAAAAACATAACCCTTTCTTTGCAGTCGGGTAAAAAAGACATCGATTTTAAAAAATCTATAATTCCGTCCTTTGAGGAGTTTTATTATTGTAATGTGTAAAACACCACCCATCGAAGTTATAAAAATCGGTTAACAATCGGTGAAAATATCGCATACACGACACGATACAGATGAATCGAGTAGCTCATTTGAACTTTTTTTCTTTGAAGTCGGTCAAAAATATATAAAACATAACCTTAATTTTGGAAGTAGCACAGAACAGTCTGTTAATTCATACAGTCGTCTAACGAAAGTGTCTATACAGTGCGGGGAGACGCTCCCGACTGTCATACATTCTTTTAAATAATAGCCGGGAAACGGCTATAGGGTTGACAACTTCTTTTTATCTATATATATATATAATAAAATTCTGAGTTGAATCTGTACATTAAATATTTTTTGGAAAATCTTATAGAAATAATCATTAATATCGATAAAGAAGTCGAATTTATAGTTATAGAATTTTTGTCTGCTTGTCAGTCTGTGACCGCATCACGAGAAAACCACTGGACAGATTTTGATGAAATTTGGTATGATGATAGCTGGTTTTAGTTGGGTCAACATATAGGATACTTTATACTGCGGGAAAATATCTAACCTGTAAGAAATAAATATTGTATATAATAATAATATGTTGTTAAAACGTAAGTAGGGACGAACCCAAGCGGAGCTGGGGTGAGTCACTAGTTAGGTATAAAGATGTATGCCATTTTAAACTTACCTTTCTATCGTATATCTTATCGACCTTTAGGTTGAGTACGAGTGATACCACTTTACGGCACGGATCTCTATGGACGCCTCGAGCGTACCCGGGCCGGCATTGACAGCTAGATATGCCTGAAAAGACGACCATTTTTATTATTTTTTTAATTTTTGGAAGGCAGTGGCTCAGTGGTAATGAGATCGCTTGGGAAACCGAGTGAAGCGGGTGCAAATCCCGGTGGTCGCACCTCTGATATTTTCATGTGCGAACCATTTCCAATATGATTATCATTCCACTTGTCTTACATTGAAGGAAAATACCGTCAGAGACCTGCATGTCTGAGGGAACCTAGCAAGTTTTCAAAAAACATACTCACTCCGCCCGCACTTGGCCAGCGTGGTGGACTATGGCCTGATCCTCCTCGCATTATAGGGAGACCCGTGCCCAGCATTGGAAGATTAAACAGGGCTGAATACTACTGCCATATTCAATAAAAATACCTACACCTAATACAATTTAAACGAGGTTAGGTATAGGTCCGAGGGTTCCATTATATAGGGGTATATAGGGATCCCTTGAATACGAAACCTTATATAACTAATTGCAAAAACCTTTTACCTGCTTCCGTTCTACATATCTCGTTCTGAGCTTGATCGCAAGTAGAGTCATCTCCCACAATGCACGTATCGATTCTGAAATAAAGATCTATTTTAATATTTATTACTAGCGTAAGACAAAAACAGATTTATCCCACGGGAACCGTACATTTTTCCGGGATAAAAAGTAGCCTAAGCCTCGGATGCTTAGGGATGTAGGGACTCTCTAGGTACATTGTAACGGTTGATATAGAATAGACACAAGTATAGAAAAGTAAGTACTTTAATAATAGAAATCATCCCCGATATACTTGATTGGTCAAAAATGCAGAAACATTCTTTATTTCTTACCAAAAGTATGATTATGATGAGTTTCATATCCTATACTTTAAAAGTGATTGATTCCTCATGAAACTTCAATCCCTCTGTTCACCCCCTTAAGATATGATCTCGGGGTAAAAACTATCCTTTGTCCTTTACAGGGTTTTAAACTACCTCCATATCAAAATTTCATCTAAATCGGTTCAGCGGATTAAGCGTGAAAAGGTAACAAACTGAGAGACAGACAGGCAGCGTTACCATCGCATTTATAATATTTGTATGGATTGGGCACTTATTCGCAAGTTTAAAAAAATGTTTAAATAAAACTAGTTAATTAAGCTTTTCTCATGAATTGAATTGTATTGAATGTAATTAAATTGAATAGAATATCTCACCGAACAGTGGGCTGTGGGCGCCTATACGACTGGTGTGGTCTGTGGGCTTGGTGTCGCCTCGGCGGGGGAGATACGTCATCTGCCGGTATAGCCACCCCTGTGCCTATGGCTGCTATAGAGGGTGGCGCTAAAAATATAAAGTTAGCTTTTTTTCATAAAATACTAGACTTAATCTCGCTTCGCTCGCGTCTTTAAGTATGTTTTTCCGTAATCTAACCGAAAGGTCTTATTTCATTTCAAAATGAACTACAAAAAATTAACAATCTAACTGCGAGTTAAAAAAAGCGAAAAGCCAAATGTGTTTAGCTTTTTATTATTAAATAGCGACTTGCCGTCGCTTCACTCGGGTGCGTCTCTGGGTACGATTTAGTTCAATATTTTATAGGTCTTAATCATTTGCACGGAATTTCTCTGTTGTTGTTTTTCTTGTTATTTTTCTAAAATAAAAGTTCTTTGAGATACTCCCTTTAACATCAGCTAACTGCCAGTGAAAGTCTCGTCAAAAATCAGTCCAGCCGTTTCGGAGATTAGCCGAAACAAACAGAAAGACAAAAATTATAATAAATGTGTTTTCTTATAAATGCCTACCATATATTATTTCATATGCATTTAGTAAAAGCTCTTATTTCGATATTACAAACAGACATTCAATTTTATTTATCTGTATATATGTGTAGATAAATATCCTCCAACCCAAACTTGGACAGCGTAGTGGACAATGGCCTGATCCTCGTATTGAGAATGGCCCACCCCCAGCAGCGGGACGTTAAGTCACTTACCAGTTTGCTTTGGTGTATTTTGCACTCTAGTAGGCGTGATGCTTGGAATTTGCACAGAAGTTGATGTGTCGAATAGATTGAGATACGTCCTCTTCCCATCAATCGATACGAACCCGTGGTCACCAGATGCGGTGACTATTATGTCGTGTTCGTTGTGTATGTTCACGTTTTCTATGTGGACTGAAAAAAAATAATTATTAAAAAGAAAAAACTTTTTTTCTTTTTACGTTTTTGGGCAGCGACATCTATTGATAGGTTCAAAACTTTACATGCGTAAACCTTTATCTTTATTAATCCAATGGTTTATAAAATCCGTATAAAATTTTCTGAGTGTAGCCGGAGCAAAAATAGACTCGGTGCGGCGAGGGGTTTTAATTTTTAGTCTGTAATAATTTTACAAGGATTTTCACATGAAAATTTATATGTTTAATTTACAGCTGGTTACAAAACATCAACATTTTAGTTTTGAACTTTTTAATAGATAACAATGCCAAAGAACATTAAAAGAGAAAAAAAAACGTATAAACAAAAACATAAATAGAAACTAGTTGAAGGTAAAATATTGTCATTGTTTTTACTTACCAGAAGAACCTTTTTCTCCTGGACCTTGAATAGCAGAGACTGTTACATCGAATATCTCCCCATACCCGGGCAATCTTGTCTCTGCCGCTGTAATTATTGGTGCATCAGGTCGGTACCTTGTCCCGTGGGGTTTGAAGTCAGTATCGTCTAGAACTATCCCGGGACGAGGGCGGTATGGCTGATGGGGTAAAGTTTGGGATGCTGTGGGAAAATAATTTGTTTTGAATAAAATTTTATTAGATTTTTGTAAAATTAAGGGATTAGTCCATATGCATCTATTAGCGTTTATACCTTTTAACAAAAATTCTTAAACCGACTATAAAATTTGTGTTTTTTTAAGTTAATACTTTGGCACATATGGAAAAAATTATGAGTGTAAAATTTTAAAGATGAAATGAAGTTAGCTGATAACTGTCTTTCCGGTTCCCGTGAAAACTCATAACTATATTCAAAGTAGTTTCTCAAATATTCATAAATCTATAATACATGTTTTATATCACTGGAGACAAAAAATATACATTTATTTTTATTAATTTATCATTCCTTTTACAAACAGAGAGTTGTGACATATGAAATCTTTAGCTATTTTTTTATTTAAATGGGTGATTCCTAGACGTAAACTCGTTAAAAAAAGAATTATTAATATCAAATAACAATCCACAATCAGAGAAGATATCCATATACTCCTCTTTTTTGTAGTCGGTTGAAATGGAAAACTAATATGAAACACAAGCATATGCTTTATACATTATATTATTTCATAATAACCTTCGTCATGATTTTTATTTGTACTCGCGTGGTTTCCTTGTTAAAGATAACGGATTTTCCAATCTGCAACTCAACCTACTGATTGGTGAGAAAACTGTATATTTTAAAGGTACATTCAACAGTGACCAAGATCGTAAATGATAATTTAATTAAAAAATACGAGTATTCTAATTCAAAGTTTCAGACAGTACATCTTCTGGGGATGAAAAATAAGGGATGATGATAATGGAAATTTCGTCGTTATATATGTAAGAAACATGAAAATTGATATTAAGATTTTTACACCCATAAAGTAGTGTGTAAAAATCGACATAGGAATGTTAGAAAATCAACCCCTAAAGGAATCAGAAGTTTGAATGGGAATCAATCATACATCTTCTTGGGGTAAATAAAAGAGGTTGGAGTAAAATATATATATTGAGGTTCTTGATAGAAAAAAAAGAATAGGCTAATAAAGGATTTTTCAAAATTCAACACCCAAAGAGGTAAAAAGGGGATAAACATTACATCTTATTTATTGAGAAAAGATACAGGCCATCCAGCGTCACGTTTCCACTCTTAGGAGATAGATCAGTAAAGTAGCAAAGTATCTAATAAATAAATATTAATGACACAACAATAATTAAATGAAAGCTTACACTATAACTGTGCTTAAGTAACATTATACATTACAAGCTACTTTCGATGTCGCTTTCTAGAAGAAAGTTTTATTTTTAATGATGAGTTGCCGCCTTACTAAATTTTATTTGAGGTCTTATATTTTACTTATAATCCCTCAATAATCCTAAAACAAGTCACACGCCACCTACCGTAACTTGATAAAAGTAATGTAAATAATTTAAATATATGAAACTAGCGACTTATCCTCGTTTCGCTCAGGTACGTAGGTGCGCAGATTTTACAATTTCATGAAACCCTAATTCTGTTTCTAAAATAATAATAGCCTAATTTACTACTTATAACATCAGCTATCTGCTAGTGAAAGTCCCGTCAAAATAGGCAGACAGACAAAAAAATTAAATTGTTTTTATAGTAAAATCGGGACCTTAAACTTAGAATATTATTTATACTGTCTTATGTGTAACACCATAAATACTTACTTTGTAAAGGCTGTATATTAATTGATGATGTTTCTATATCTTTTGCAGTGGAGGTCTCCTCAATAACGGGCCTATGAGTCACCAAGCCTTCGGTAGGGGTTGGTGCACTCATGAACACTGTTGAAGGAGATATGTCGACTATGGACGGCTCAATTTCTATAATAGGCGTGTCAATTTTCATATTATCTATCATATCCACTTTATATTTATCTTTTTCTGAATTATTATCTTTTTTCTTATCTTTTTCTGGTTTCAGCGGTTTATCGGTTTTAGATTTTTCCGTTGTTGTCTTCTGTGTTGTGGGTTTTTCTGTTGTCATTTCTGTGGTTACTTCTGGTTTATTTGTGGTTGCTTCTGGTTTATTTGTGGTTGTCGTCTTAGGCGTTGTTGCTTCGGTTGTGGTTGTGGTTGTCATTTCAGTTGTTATTGAAACATCTTTTTCGATATCTTCCGTAACATTTTTAACCTCAGTTGTAGATTCAGGAAGAGTGATAAAAGGTATAACTTCATCATGGTGTATATTGTTCTCTGAATGAGTTTCGTTTTCGTTGACTACAACTTCATCTTTTTCTACATCGGGAATATCTGGTGGTGGTATTAGGGTGGGTTTGTATACAGGTAGTCCTGGGTTCGGCCTACGATTTGGATTTGGCCTGGGCCTTGGTCGTTGCCAGGGTGGGATAGGACGATGGAATCCCGGTCGATTATTCATGGTTGGAACAATTTGCTCAGGTAAATTGACACCATGAGGTCTGTCGAAAGGGTAGGGTGGAGGTATTTTTGTAGGGTGAAAAGCCAACGGCGGTGGTGTGATAGGTTTCTCATAATCTGATAATGAGGGAAGCTCAGTTATGCGTGGAGGGCCTCTGTTATTTATTCTTGATGCCATAGGACGAGGCCTACCATTCAAGAGCTGTGTATTAGCTTGTACATTAACATTCCCATTTAGTAGCTTAACTATACCAGTTATAATATTTTGGATTTCTGTATTCTGACGTCCATGATCTCTAAGGGTTGTGGTCGCGAAGGTCGGTGGATGCACTGCGGTAGGCCGGATTTTGGGCCCCGCAGGTGCTAGTGCACGCCCCTTCGGAGCCCTTTTCCCTTCCCCCGGAAACTTAAAGTCCAGCTTGTCACCGAATCCAGTTGACATCAACATAGCTTCATCATTACTTAAATAATCAAATGTTTTCGTTGGCACTATTTCGTAGTATTTTCTCTTATTATGTAATTCTAGTTCGTTGTCGATTTCGTTGTTATTCGATAAGGGTATTTCATCGATATTGATAGATCGAGAGCCTCGATAAGGCTCTACTGACCGCTCTACTATTACATGGTTTTCTATTTCTACATCAGAGATCAAGTCTTCTGGTTTGAGTTCGATGTCGTCATATCTAATACTAGGTTCTATACTAAACGCTATATTTCCTACATGACTGGTTTGTAGTAGTACGTCTGGATGTAGTCTCTCGTTGGCCACTGATTTTGGCGACAGCTGTGATATTGAGAAGGTTTCCTCGTAACCTGGAAGGAATTAAGAAATTATGTTTTTAATTGTTTTCAAGTCTTACAATTTTAAAAGACATATTTTTAAAACTATGAGATTTTTGAGTTTGTGTAAACAAATACATTTGTATGTTTGTATGGGACAAAGGACGTTATGTTACATATGATTTGTAAAAAAATTAAGTTATTATATTAGTTATCATTTTATTAATAACTTAATATTAATTAAAAAAGATAAAAAGTCTTACAACACACTTGTTTTAGATAAGGTTATTTACAGAGGGACTAAGACTAAGAGGTAAATAAAGTGACTTTAATAAAATTCTAAGAAACCATAATCAATTAATCAAGATCTTTATAGCTGGATGTTCTATACTTATTATAGCTTTTATTTAACTTGCAGTGTTCGTATGTATGTTTGCTCGGGTCAAATCTTGCAATTGTTTTTAGAGCAGCTATCCTCAACCGATTGTGCTGAAATTTTGCATACACGTTTACTTTGGACTTTAACAATGCATGGTATGAACCCGAAACCCCCATGAAACCCCCATGATATGGATATCAAATGAAAAGGTTTGTTGAGATGAATGCGAATAAATACCTAAAAAATAAAAAAAATAGTTTTAATTTAAATCAAATTCACTTATTACACGATTTATTTGATATAATAGCTTATTTTTAAAAATATTTTTATTATGTTTTTGTGTTGTTATGTTTATAAAAAAAAATACATAATCGAGATGCGATTGTTTTTTTTTTAATTTCAAAATCAAAATATTAACAAAAATCGATTCCCACAAGTAATCGCGAAAGCAAAGAACAAATGAAATAATTATATAAAAAAGGAGAATTTATAGATCATGAAATAAAAAAAATCGTTTCTTTATGACATCAAAATCATGTGTCACAAATTGGTCGACAATGCATGTGACATAATGAGTGACATAAAGCGGTAACAATACTTCTGTTTCGCTTTCACTGACGTTTATGCTATAATTATACTAGCCTTAAATTCCGGATTTCTATGCCTATCTCTTTATATTACTGAAAGCCCTAAAACCAAGAATAGATAAATATTACTTTCCTAGATTTACATGAATATTTGACATTTATTATCTTTTCAGATTTGGTCGCGGTTTTATTTTGTACAAACGAAATACACTCGCTTCTCACGCGTCCCTAGGTAAGCGAATTTTCTTGACCATTTCATGGGTTTTAATTTTTTGCGCGTAACCCTAATTCTTTTTTTTTAAATGAAACTAGCCTAAGTTACACTTTTATAATATCAGCTATCTGCTAGTGAAAATCCCGTCAATATTCCAGACATTTCAGAGATTAACCGGAACAAATAAATAAACAAAAATTTTAAAAATTGATTTTTCTTATAAGTATGTACCACAAATACTTTTATAGGTATGCATTGAGTAAAAAGATGTTATTTTGACATCACATACAGACACTTTAATTTTTTGATTTTGATTTTTACTCCCGACATGTGCCTGGAACGCCTGGAAAAACTTTACTTGACCCGAGAATCGAACCTAGGAACGATAATCGATAAGCAACCGTACATCTGCAATAGACCAAATTAATGCAAACAATTAATAACAATATAACATCAAAGTCATTAACACTCAATGAATAAATCACAGCTTATTAAGTCTTACAATAGAATATCTCACTTCTTATAGCGCCTTTGTATGCATTCACTACCGTTTTGTATTATCGATGATGTAGATTAACGGTTATTATTGCTTACTAAAGACATTCCCATGCTTCGCTCGGGTACGTCCCTAGATGCCTAAAAGTAGCCTATGTGTTTCTTTGGGCCATAGTCTATCTGTGTACAACATTTTATACATATCCTTTCAGCGTGAAGAAATAATAAACATACACACTTACATTTTGGGATTTATAATAGTAGTCTGATGTACAGGCAGTGCCACCTTGACGCAAATTTTATTATTTTACTAGCGTTATCTTTTAACGTTTAGTAGGTATATATTTCTCAGAGATGAGATGTTTTCCCGCAGTAAAAAGTATCATATATTTTGACCCGAATAACGAGCTATCATCACATTTCATCAAAATCTGTCCAGTGGTTTTCTCGTGACGCGGTCACAGACATGCAGACAGATAAAAATTCTAAAAACTAATAGATTCGGGCTCTGTATCGATAATAATGACTATTTCAATAAAATTTTCCAAAAAATATTTAATGTACAGATTCGACTCAGAATTTTATTATATGTATAGAGTATATATATATATATATATATATATATATATATATATATATATACCTACATAAAATGTTATCCAAATCCATCTAGCCATTTCAACGTAAAGGAATAACAAACAAATAAACATATGTACGTGCAAATTTTTGAATCTATAATAGTGTGATTAATAATGTAGCGATAGTAGATTACAGTACAATGGTTTGGTTTTTACCTAGATAAAATTATGTTTTTAACTTTATCTATACGATTTTACAACGAAAGCGCCGAAAAAAGCGCCGATGAAGCTAGTATTATTTTAACAATAAAATCCGAATACTTAAAACTAAAAACAAAGTTAGAAGCTCAATAATATCCAACGCATTCTTCGTATAGACTATAGAAATCGGTATAACGGACACATTGCATTCAACTTACACACGTACAGTTACATTGTATACGATGTACGTTTTCCGCGACGCATTGAGCCGTTAAATTCAATATTTATCGAAATGTATTCAGCCCGTTTTAACGTCCCACTGTTGGTCTTGGGAGAGGTCCCACTGTTGGTGGGGTGGGCCTTCCTTCAATACGAGGGAGATCAGGCCGTAGTCCACCACGCCGGCCAAGTGCGGGCGGACTTCACATGTCCTTCGAAAACTTGCTAGATAGATTCTCTCAGACATACACGTTTCCTCACGATGTTTTCTCTCCGTAAGAAAAGTAGTTATTTATATTATGTTAGAAATGATTCGCACGTGAAAATATCAGGATCCGAGTTTTGAACCCTCTTCACTCGGTCGTTACCACTGGGCTACTAAAACACTCACTTTAAAATCGATATATAAAAGGTCTGTCTGACCGTCTTTCCGTACGTCACAGCTATTTTGCTTAAAGACTATTAGAGCTATAACTATTATAATTTCGTAATATTCTAATTACGAAAAATACAAAAAATAGGTGATAAAAATTTAATCTATAAATATAGGCGTTTGGAGTAAGTGGATACGGATCGATATTAATCGGTCTGCTATCATAAATGAGCATGTATGTGTATATTTGTTAAACCTTCACTCTGTAACGGTTGGACGGAATTGGATGTTTTGTACACAGATATACTATGATCTGGAGTAAATTATAGTCAGGCACCTCGGAACATACCTAAGCTGAGCCACTTGTTTAAGTATAAGGAAATTAAGGCACTTCCATACTAGAAACTCATTCATATAAGTATAACCTGACTCTTAACTCCCATTTCTTAGTCCATAGTTACATTCAATTAAGCGTGTTGAGAATCGATCTTTAACATGCTTTTGCCTGAACATTTAGACCGAGACAAATATATGTTTGTAATACAATAGTATAATACTAACTTGTATTCGCCCGCGGTTCTTTTCATGCTATAACGATATTATACCATACTAAGCCTCCCTTGAATACCACCTGTATACATACAGGTAAAGCAAACTGTCAACTCCTTTTTCATCCCCATCAAGTTTCATTTTTGCTACAAAAATAAGCCTTGCCGTCTTCAAAGTCTCATCCATCTCTATACCAAAATTCATCAAAATTGGTTTAGTGGTTTTGGTTTGGGAAAACACAGCATATGGATTTGTTGCAGAGAGAGATTACGATCTTTAGGAGCAATTATATATATATATATATATATATATATATAAAAACGAAAATAAAATAGTAAACAAGAAGCCGCGAGTAAAAGTTAATAAGTAATAGAATCATCTGAACACGCGAATAAAACCGAATTTCAAACAAAAACGAAAGTACATAGAGAAAGTAAATGGCAAGTGCGGGCTCCGCTCTCGTTTTAGTTGCGTCAGTGAAAATAATTCATTCACCTATCTCGGACTACTTATGATAGCTAAAATTAATAGTAAAAAATAGTTTTCCTAATATCTTTTCTTTTAAAAGTCGATATCTAGATTATTTGTCTTTTGTATGAAATAAGATGACATTATAGAACATTTATTTATATATTATAGTAGCGGCTCACCCTCGCTTCGCTCGGGTTCGTTCCTAGGTGGATTCCCCATACAAACTTTCATCCCCATTTTCTACCCCTTAAGGGATGATTTCCGGAATAAAAAATATCCTATGTTCTTCCCAAGGTCTCAAACTATCTTCTTACTAAATGTCATGTAAATCAGTTCTGTAGTTTCGGAGCCTATTCACACAAACAAACAAACAAAAAATCAAATTTTTCCACTTTATAATATTAGTAGATAGTTTGACTACAGTAGTGACTCACCCGCGCTTCGCTCGTCTCGTCCCTAGGTGATTTTTCAGATTGTAATAACTTTTTATTTATGTACCAATGAAATAAAATAAATACTAAATGTTAAATAACCACAATACACTACTGAAAACTACACCCGAATCGATTAAGCCGTTTCTGAGATTACGTGCACGAATACATTGATAAATAGACAAACAGACAAAAATTGTTTTGGGTTCTATTGCGTTAATAAAGACCCCCAACAATATTTTTTCTTAAATATCTTCTTATGTACATACACCGATCAATTACACTTTTGTTATATGTATACATTTTATTCTCAAAGATTGTAAATCTACGATTAATACCTATATTGAGAAAGTAAACAATCTATATGGCAAAATCGACAATAGTATCAAAAACAGCAACTCACACTATTTTTGACTTTGACATTTTATTTGGCGGACTCCGTCTATATAATTACCAGTAGTACACGCGACTTCTACCGCATTCAACTTCCGATCGATACCAAACTTTACAGGACCAACCGCTAGGCTAATCTGATGATTGCCATGAATTTCATCAAAATCGTTAAAGCCGTTTTGGGGTCCATAGAGAACATACATCGATTTTTATATAATACAATATAGATTTAGTCTGAGTAATGACGTAAGTTGACAAGTTTTTCTAACGTTGACATGTAGGTGTAACGCCAGCTTTCTACCAACGAATTGCTAATGACATTTTTTACTCAATCATTTGTTTAGTAGAATAATTCTATAGTCCTATTCTGTAAGAATGCTTATATAACTCTATATCTGAATTCGCCATCATATTTCATACAATTTATGTTCGCGGATGCAACTGTCGACTTACATAACACTACTGGACTCGAATCTAGACTTCTCAATCTTAACCTAAAAACCTGTATTTTGTTACCTCCACCATTCGATTGATTCGGAGGGAAAAAATATTTTCAAGACACACAAAATGGCGCCTAAGATCCGCTATTTCGATTTTTAATGACACTCGCGTTATCAAGGCTAACTAGAGACGCTGAATCATCAAAATCGGTTAAGCCGTTTGTAATTACCTACCGAGGGAACATACATACAGGTCAAGCGCATAAGCCCTCTTTTGGGTTTCGCCGCAGTAGGGTAAAATTACATAAGAAATTCTACGGTAGAATAACACAATTTTCAAAATTTTTGTCTATCTGTCTGTTTGTTTGTTCCGGGTAATCTCCGAAACAGTTGGACTGATTTTGGCGGGACTTTCACTAGCAGATAGCTGATTTTATAGGGAGTAACTCAGGTTACTCTTATTTTAGAAAAAAGGCGCATCCGAGCGAAACGAGAGTAAGTCGTTTGTATCAACTAAACAATTTATTGATGGTATAACTTACGCAAAGCTAGAGTGTATAGGAATTAGGAAGAAGAAAAGATATAACATTTAAAGTATTTGCTGGACACAGGTGCCTTAAATTTCACGTTTGGATCAGTCTGTAGTGATCCTACTTGCTATGAAAGCGGTCGCGGGTTCGAGTCCCGCTGGGGGCATTCATTTGTGTGATGAGCACGAATGTTTGTACTCCAGTCATGGGTGTTTATATTTATGTATTGAAAGTTATATATGTGTATTAACTATCTGGTATCCATAATTCATTCCAACACCCTCGTAGCTTATCATGGAATTAGACGGTCCTATGTGTTAATGTTCCAACATATTTATTTATATTTATAACTCCAACTGGCAATTCCCTCATATCGTTCACATAAAGCGTGTAAAAATATTTTATCTTAACTTCCTGACCAGATGATACAAAAGTACGGAAGTAGTAAACAAGACCTGTATTTATATTATTTGAATAGGACTTCGCACTTCAAACTTTGAATATAAAATGACATACATTTGACCTCGCTTTACTTAGGTACGTCCTTAGTATAATCTTTTATCTATATCTATACATCTAAAATACAAAAGTGTAACTGATCGCGGTCTGTACATCCATACTAATATTATATAGATACTAGTGTAATATGATAGAGATAGTTAGGGGTGGAGAGTGACATAGGCTAGTTTTTACCGCGAAAGATTATCTCATTCCCACAGGAAAACACGTTATAATACAAGCCAAAAAAATATTTATGATCAGAATTATTTGAAACTTGGTATTAATGCTATTTAATACAATTAAATAAATACTTGTCTTAGCATTTTTTTCGAAATTCAAGTTTAGAAGAAAGTTTGTATGAAACCTATCTTTTTTGAGTATCTTTTGAGTGTTTTAGCGCGAGCGAAACCGCTTTTTGCTTCCGCTTCTGCTAGTGGAAGATATTTGAGAAAAACTATTATAAAACAAATTGGTTGACAAACAATGGAGAAAAAGTAATGAATAATAAGACTAATTTTGCCCGAGACTTCGCTCGCTTTGTAAATAGGGCGGAGATAAAAAAACCTACATCCTGCTTCATGATGCAATGTCCTTGCCGAATTTCATCGAAATCTATTCATCGGGTTAAGCGTGAATAGGTAACAGTCATATTTACAATATTAGTGCAGATTTTTTGAAAAATAATATTATAATGATATAAATTTCATCCAAATCCTTCCAGCCGTTTCATTATTGAGGAATAACTAACAAACAAACACACAAACAAAATTTCGTATTTATAACAGTAGTGGGAGTTTCCTATATACTTATGGGGTCACTCTTTTAAAATTGTTGATATCCATACGGTGACAGTAACTCTATCTGTTACATTTTCCCGCTTAAACTATTAAAAAGTTCTCGATAAAATTTGGCAAGGACATAGATTGCATCCTGGAATTGGACATCGGCTACCCTTTATCCCCGCCCGCTTATCCCGTGAACGAAGCTGGGGGCAAAAATTAGAAGTAAATAACTTTAGGCATAACATTGGTGTGGGAAATACCATATATCGTGATAGCGTAATCTATACTGTAATTATTATTTAACAAACAAATATGGAGTTATTTTTACATGACTACACTTATCATGACCAGATCGTCAACATTTCAAATGAACCCCTAATGTTTATGTATCTCTTGTAAATTCATACAAATTGACTTAATGGGTATATTGATATGTTTACCTACGTTTTTAATAGATACACACACAAATAGACCTTGAATATCGACATGAAACATCGCTAATAATAAATAATCGTTCTTTTCCTAATAGCATGGGAAAAGTTTCAAACTACCTATAGGTATAACACCTATATTTAAAAAAAACATGCCTATTGGCAAAGGTATAATAAAAAATGAACAAATTCTATTTACCAAGTAGTCAAATAAATCACTTTTTTACCCGAATGCGCCAGAAAAAGGTTATTCTAAATATTTTTATATAGAATACGCTGGTCATCATCCTAATGCCATCATCGTCATCCGAATGAAAGATGATCTTTGGGCAAAAGTAACAACTTCTTTGATCCCCCAACACATCAGGCGACAGGGTGGTAGACCTAGACGAAGATGACAAGATGAGATGAACTGCTTTCAGAGCAACTGGTCCGTTATGGCGGATGATATAGCAGTGGAAGAATAGTACGGGCCTTTGCCCTATAGTGGGACACCATAGAATAAATATAGAAAATTTGTGTAGCAGTTTCTAGTCTATTAAGTGACACAAGATGTTTAAATAAAAGGTTTTAAGAATAATCCCTCTAATTAATGTACCTACGAAATAGAATCTACATATACATATGTAAATGTTTTTAGAGGCAAATTATATTTTCAATGCGCAAATATGTAAATCTTGAATATCAACTATATTGTTGATAATGACCAATGCTAACTACTATTTAAAATATGTAGAAAGATATTTAAATAATACGTAGACAAATCTATGTCAATTATTATATATACTAATATATATATACTAATAAATAAAATTAAAATGTCTGTTTGAAAAACCACTGGAGGGATTTTAATGAAATTTGGTATGATGATTGTTCTTTATCCGGGTCAACATATAGGATACTTTTTACCGCGGGAAAATATCTCATTTCTGAGAAAAAATAGTAAAACTGCAATGTAAGAGTATACTGGTATGTAAAACCTAAGAATTTGGTTTTGAGTCATCTGAACGCGAGTGGAGCTGCGGGCAATGCTAGTAATTAATAAATAAAATATTTATTACTAGCGTTTTCCTGCGGCTCCGCCCGCATAGTACATTAATCACCTGTTTCGTCATATACTGAAACACGCTGCATCTTATGGTATGAGTATTATTCCAAACGGTTCAGTAGTTATCGCAGTATAACCGAACAGAAAAATCGACTCTCCATTAATTAGTATAGATATAACATTATGATGATATTTGCGAATAAATTCAGAAAAAATCAAGGGCCTCTAGGGACACAACCGAACGAAGCTAGTGGAAGATATTAGTAATATAATAAATACAAAAGTGTTTTGTCTATTTGATCTGTAAACCCTTTTTTATTAAGCAAGTATTTTTAAATTAATTTAATGAATTATTTGATAATTTAGGCTTTTTATCACAATACGTAATAAGTAAGTAACAATATGTATTTACATATGTATTTACATAATGGATCGCGGAAACTTCCGTTACACACAAGTGTAGTTAGGGCGTGGGTGAAGCGTGAGTTGGTCGCTAGTAAAATATACTAAATCAAAATGGATAATATATCATTTATACAAATATACCTATGTATATTATCTATGACAATTATTTTACTGTAAAGATCTATTCTATACTAGCATTGCCCTCAGCTCCGCCCGCGTTCAGATGACCAAAAACCAAATTCTTAGGTTTTACATATTAGTATACTCTTACAGTGCAGTTTTTGTATTTTTTCTCAGAAATTAGATATTTTCCCGCGGTAAAAAGTATCCTATATGTTGACCTGGATAACCAGCTATAATCATACCAAATTTCATCCAAATCTGTCCAGTGGTTTTCTCGTGATGCGGTAATCAGATATCAGATTCAGTCGGCAGACAGATAGACAAAAATTCTAAAAACTATAGATTCGGACTCTGTATCGATAATAATGTCTATTTCAATTAGATTTTCCAAAAAATATTTAGTGTACAGATTCGGCTTAGTTACAATTTTCTTATATGTATAGATTGTTATTATAATCGGAGATCCTAAGTAAAATTAACCTTCACTCATCTGTTTACTTATTGTATGTATAAATAAGCAAATATATCGCAAATGGGTTGCCTAATAAATGTATTTTTAATTTATTTGGAAACTAACGGATTCATTTAAAAAAAATCTTAAAAACTAATTCGCTTAGATATCGAGTAACATACAACAGAATTGCGTTCTTCCTCTTATTTCAAATCGATCAAAAATTATTACATTATTTTTAACGAATTGAGTATAATATATTTTATTTAGTAACCTTGCTTTCCTGTGAAGAAAAACATGAGGAAAACTACATGTCTGAGAAAACTTAGTGAGTTTTCGATAGACATATGAAGTCAACCAACCTGCATTTGTCCTGCGTGGTGGACTTTGGTCTAATCCCCCTCGTATTTAATGGCCCATCCCCAGCAGTGAGGCGTTAAAAAGGTCTGTATACATATTCATATAAAAAAGGTTTTATCTGTAATCAGATGTAAAAAGTACAATCTCATTCGAATTTTAAACGGATCTTAGACTACTACTCTCCAAGTAAGCCAAAGTACTGTAACACGCGATATCTGCTCTAAAACGAATACAGTAATAACTAGTTATACTTAAAATTTAATTAACATTGGCCGCATTCTTCTCCCAAATAGCATATGTCAAATTAGTCTTACAGCTTCCTACACCCTGCGCCCTTGAGATCAGGTTATTAGCGAGTTCCGTCATTAAAAAAAATTAGTATAAAAGCTGTTACAAACAAGAAAACATCAATCAGTAGCTTTCGAGCAGTCTAAAAGAAGTGCACGATGAGATTTCTGGTGGGCTTCTGTAATTTATTTGGATATAAGTGTATATAAATAAGTGTTTAATAAGTAATATTTGTGATATAATTTGTGTTATTTTCAACCGATTTCTCCAAAAAAGGAGGAGGTTCTCAATTCGGCTGTATATGTTTATTTATTTTTTGTGTTTGTTACCTCTAAACGCAGTTATTTATTAACAGATTTGCCAATTTTTGTTTTGAAAAAAATACTTGAAAAAATAGCTAATGAAAATTTAACCTACTTCTAATTGTCATATTGACTGGTCTGATGGTAAGGCCAGAAGGTGGAACTCTTCAACGGCTAACAGTACATACTTTGATTTTGGGCTTATTTTGTGTGATTTAACAAGCTCAATACGTTAGAATTGGATTTTAGAGCCAGAATTTTTATTGTTACTAATAAAAGCAAATTTTAGTTTGTCAGTCTTCATATAAAAATTGGCATCAAACGAACTTAAATGGCTCAAGCGAATATTTTATTACAATACTTTCTTTTTACTTTGCTACTACTATCTGTGCACTAAAAAGGAAAAAATAAAAACTTTTAAAAATGAAAATAAAAACCGACTTCAAAAAAAAACATTAAAAAGTAAAAAATAACTGGTTGGTAGTTTTCATTAACTGTAGATACCTAATCAAATATTTTCGAATTCGGTGTCAGCCGAGACACAAAGCATAGGAAGCATCAGTATCTGATTAAGTATTTACAGTAAATGAAAACTACCAATCAGTAGTTTTTTTTTTTCATTTTTAGTGATTTTTTTTAAGTCGGTTTTTATTTTTTTAAAGATTTTCATAATTGACTTTGTCCAACGCTTCTCCTCAACACCCACTTTTACTGGTAATTGTAAAAACATTAACCATATCTCATCTTATGTGTTTACACAGATTGTAGCCACCGCCGTCTTCGCCTGCGCCGCAGCCGCGCCCTCTGGCACCCTGCTGGCAACGCATGGTATCTTAACCTATGGAGCATATCCTGTAGCCTCTCTATCCGTTGCCCCCATCAACTCTGGCGACCTTCAGGCTGCTGCCATCAACGCTCATGTGGAAGCTTCCGACCAATCACGAGCTGTAGTTGACGCTGTGCAAGAAGTGAACGACCAAGCAGCTGAAAACCATGGTAGAGCTATCAATGCTGCTGAAGACCACGCTTGGCAAGCAGTGAACTCTGCTCAGGTAGCCGCCGCTGAGATTGACGGTGCTGCAGCCAGCGTGTCACCTGCTGCTGCCCGCTCTGTAGTTGCTCCTGTCTCTCCTGTTCTGTCTTACTCTGTTCCTTCTTGGTCTTATGCTGCTCCTTCCATCTTATCTTACTCTGCTCCCTCATTCATTTCTCCAGCTCTATCTTACTCCAGTCCACTGGCCGGTGGAAGCCAATCCATCTCTTACCAAAGCCTCCATCAAACTCACCCATCTCCCGTCGTAGCTTACGCCCACAACTACATCTACGCGTAAGTTTAATTAGTTAATAAGAACAAGAGAGACAATAATACAATACCAATGATGCAGGCTAAAAAAAGGTGTGCAAATATATAACTATAATAATTTAATTCTATTATTTCGCCATAACCCTTTAAGTAAGATATTTATAATCTATACATACTCGTATAATAAAATTCTAACTAAGCCGAATCTCTACATCACATATATTTTGGAAAATCTTATTGAAATAGTAATTATTATCGATATAGAGGCCGAATCTATAGTTTTTAGAATTTTTGTCTGTCTGTTTGTCTGTTACCACATCACGAGGAAACTACTGGACAGATTTTGATGAAATTTGGTATGGTGATATCTGGTTATCCGAGTCAACATATAGGATACTTTTACCGCGGGAAAATGTCTAATTTCTGAGAAAAAATACAAAAACTGCCATGTAAGAGTATAATAATATGTAAAACCTAAGAATTTGATTTTTTGTCATCTGAACGCGGGCGGAGCCGCGGTCAATGCTAGTGTTACATATCATTAGTTTATTATTAAATGAATCAGTTAACAGTAAAAAGGCGGGATTTCAATGAATAGTAAAACTGACATGAACATTTACCGATATGACACATAAGATTGCGCGCTAATACACAATTACTTATTATTATGTATAGACTGTATTTTAAGTAGGTATTTATTTTAGTGTATTTTTGTTTAGGAAAGGAAAGAAACATAAAGGCACTCAAAATAAAGCCTTTTAAATCAAGTTAAAGCCTTTTGTCACCATAGGAAAATTTATGAGAGTAAAATTATTACGATGCGCGCGCACACCGACAGACTAAAAACGAAATGATGAAGTTAGCTACGAGTAGTTACTTGAAAGCGATGATGAAGTTAGCTGCATTCCTTTTACAAACAAAGAGTTGTGACATACAGAATGAACTCTTTAGCTATGTTTGTTCTGTTACGCCAAAAAAGTATAACTTCTTACGTGCGCACATAAGTACATACACACGTTTATTTAGTGTTACACGATAATCGATATCATCGCCAATTGCAAATCGATTTTCATAATTCTTTTTTAATTTTTGCTTATAATGGTAGTCCTACAATCATTTTTAAAAATATTGTACCCCTTATCTTTTCTGTTAAAGATTTAGTATAACTCTGATATACTAAAAAAACAAAATAAATTCCAAAGAAAAGGTATCTCTTACGACTTAATAATTCTTATTTCGTATTTAAAATAGCACGATTTGACACAGAGTTTTTACGAGTAAGTATACAATAAATACGGAATCAGTGGAGCGAGACCATTTAAGACCATCGAGAGAAGTCAGTGACCGGTGTTAGGTATATGTCGTGAGGTATATAAAATTATTTAAATTGATTTTTACAAACTAAAAAGTCATTTATTTAATAAATAACGAATACATTTTATTTAAATGCTACAACTAGTTTGTTTTAGCTAGTTATTTATTTGGACTATTGTTCGCCTACCGCTCGAAGTTCGATCATAAAATATATATATATATATATATATATATATATATATATATATATATATATATATAGACATAAAAAATCTTCCTGTTTTAAAAAACTATTGATTAATAAAAAAAACAATTGGTTGACAAACAGAGGAGAAAAAGGTACTAAGCTGTTTTGGCTTTGCCTATTTATAAAAAGATTATATTTTAATGATTTTTATGCAATCACACCATAGCAAATGTACCCTGGTTGCTTTGTATCGATTATCGAGCATGGTCGAAATACACAATACCTTAAATATAACCTCTATCAGAGCAGAAATTAGGGTAGGGTGTGAGCAGTTAAATATAAGACAGCTCAAGGATTACCCAAATGAGCTTAAACCAAAACTCCTCTATATAAGTTATCACAAACGTCTAAAACGTCATGACATACAAAGCCTTTCCTGGCTGGATTTAAAGGTTTTACTATAAGGAGGGGAGGAGAAAAAGTAGAAGAAGAAAAAAAATACTTATACAAGTACTTTTGAACATTCAGTTTGATTTAAAGATGGTGTCTGAGAGGAAGCTACCATAGGGTCGAAAAGCAGTGGCGATTCTTCTCTCTTAAGTTCTTACCTAAGGGAAACGATACAACTCTTTTAAATATCAGGTTACAGTATTTTTAATACATTATTAGAACGATTAAGGCAGCGGTAGCCCAGTGGTAAAGCACTCGCTTTGGAAACCATTGTATGTAGCCTGAGAGAACCTAGCGAGTTTTCGTCTTAATTTTTTCTTAAGTTAAATCCGAGACAGTGAAGTTTTATAACATAAGCGAATACTCAAGCCCACGATAGATGTATTCACTTTTTGGAGGACTTCAAAGGTATAGGCATATTTTTATTTCTGGTATTTATCGTATATTATCACTCTTTTTACCCGACTGCGACGAATGATGCGTTTGACTTTTATTATATATGTATTATGTACTATTTGCATGATTATTATGACTCATTTGCCATTAGATACATCTTGGTGATATGATATATACATACACATATTGTTAAAAATGTAAATGGTGGATTTTAGGTGTGATGAAAAAAAAATATTCTTTCAAACCTATCGAGTGTGGTATTCAAATGAATGTTTTTAAAGGCATCTAGAGTGTACACAAACGAAGCGAGGGTAAATCGCTAGATAGAAGCTAAATATAATAAGACTTATATGAATGTGTAAACTATACATAATACAACTTGGTACCTGATCCATTGGCCTAGATGTTTGCTCAGTGAGAATGTATAGCTTTCTTATTGTACGATTAAAAATTTCACACATCACGTAAACGTGTACAAAGGAGATTTTTCCAAATTGATTGAGACGTTGTGTCTAGTATACCATGGTTTATATGTTGAAACTCCATGGCTGTGAGTTCGATTCCCAGATGAACAATGTTTAATTTAATTTTAATAAAATTTGAATTTAAGTTTTATAAAATTGGGCTGCAACCCTGCAAGCAGTACTAATCCCGGCTCAGATAATTCTTAATGCAGCCCAGAGTTGGGATGTTGGCGGTCTTAAAATTGTATTGTACCATTCATACGTAGCAATATTGTATTGTTGGTGGTTACGTTATCTAGTTTCATGGAAGAGTAAAATTATATGAACAAACCAGCAGGTTATAATACTTTCTTAGATTTACGTGAATATTTGACAATTTAAATAAAACTATCTTTTCGGATTATTTCGCGGATATATTTTGATTTTTGGTTCCCGAAGTTTCAAATGCTTTAGCAGCTTTTTTTGTATGATTTTAGAAAATACAAAAATGGCACCAAAGTACCTTACAATATTTGTTAATTATAATTTTATAAATATTAAAATATTACCCACCAGACACAAAATGCACCAAAAACGCCAGAACGAGGCTCGCCCACCATCCCACATCCATCTTGAGTACCCCTGCTCTGTCCATTGAACTACATAACTTGTCACATTGGAAATCTGAAACAAGAAAACAATATTAATAACAGATTCATTTATATATACCTATCTATATAAAGAAAAGTGAATGTTCGTATGTTTGTCCTTTATGCGTTCCTAAACCATTGATCCGACTGTGATGAAACTGTAGTGGGTTATCTATACTAATATTATAAAGATACAGAGTTTGTTTGTTTAAACGCGCTAATATCAGGACCTACAGATCGGATTTGAAAATTTATTTTTGCAATAGATACCCCTTTTATTAAGGAAGGTTATAGGGTATATATCATCATGCTACTACCCAAGGGATCGGAGCAATAATCATAAATGTCAACAAATCGGGCAGACTTCCCGAAAACTTCCATACATTACTGTAAAACTGATGTTTATATCAGATGTTTAAACGCGGGCAAAGTCGCGGATACTGCTATTTTGTATACGCCTGCGGAGGTTCCTAGCGTAAAAAATTTTTTTTCTAAGGACGTTTGTCTCTTATGTTTTCCAATACCCTTCAAGGTTAGGGACACGAGCGAAGCTAGGGTAAGTCGTTAATATTATATAATGAAAATGATTTTTCCTTTGTCATATAATCATGTAAAAACTACTGAACGTATCGGTATGGGATTTCGACCAATCATGCGGGATCGCCCGTAGATGGTTTTAGACTATTTATTTACTGAATTCCTTACACAAACTGCCAATAAAAACAAAAGACGTTGCACTTTTTTTATTTTATTTTTTTACCTAAATATTTAATTTATAAGATTAAGTTAAAGCGGGTGGGTGACGGCTAGCAAACTAAATTATAAATTAATGTACACTTCTATTGCTGCATCAGTGGTCTAGTGATTAGAATTTAGCATGTACGGCTGGAGCTCCAAAAGCCCTGAGTTCGAGTCCCATGTCGGTTTAATGAGTCATTGAGTCTGCCAAGAAATTCTCGATTCAGATGTCATTATTATTTACTAATAAATCACAAAGAACATTAAAATCGGCTAAAGAGCTTAAAGTATTTATTCTTTAAGATCTTATATATGGAATACTTGTAATTTAAAGAAGAAGCTTTAAACTGCATTTTCAACAGATATTGTGTAACGTACATAAAAACCATACATAAAATGTTTTAGCTAAGCTGTCACGGTTTTTATCTAGCAAGTCGGAACAGATACCGCGTTCTTAATGTCTTTTGCTAAACAGTTGTTTAAGTGTAAAAACAGTGTTTAAATAAAAAACGAACTAAAAAGATGACAACAAGTCGACGAAGGAAGATGGTATTGTCGCGTGATGGAGAGTGTGCAACGTTATTACATCAAAATAATAATTAAAAAGACACGCCTGGAGCATGCTTTATGCATCTTATAACAGTTGTCAAAACATTTCGAAAGAGGCGTAGAAATTACTTGAATTTAGACAATAACAGTTACTTATAAATTGCCGTGTGTAAGAGTGAGCTGAGGGAGCAAAACATTCGAAATGACTTGAAAGGTTTTGAATTTTCGAATACTAGAATGTTCTTTGTTTATGTTTTATTCATATAAAAAGGCCGGCAGTGTGTCGAAAAATCAGTTG